TCCACTCAAGAGGAGGGCTCTCATAATTTTCAGAACACGATTTTTGAGAGCACAAGAAACACACGGCCATTATTCAAAAGACGAGAAAGAAGTGGCTGGGGAGGAGACAGTGCAACAATTATACATGAAAAGAGAGAGGGAGCTTCCTTCCACGTAGGTGCACCATCGAGCTGCTGTCTCACCACACACACGTTCTGCAAAGTCAAAGCAATTCTCCACGGTGAATCCGGCATCAACGAACTCTCTTCCACGCCGGTTCTTCATCTTAGAGACCCCGCACAGCCTCGTTGCTTCATCCTGCGAAACAGCTACACCACAAGTCTCTATCCGACAACGATAGCGACGAGGCTGTCGAGACGAGAAGCTGCTGATTTGAGCCTTCCCTGCACCGACCAGCCGAGTCTCTGCAGACCAGCAACATCAAGTTTCTTGGCGGGTGATTAACAAGTAATTGGCGGTCCCCGCTGCTTCCAGACCACTTCTGACGTATCCAGTCCTCACACCAACATTGGCAACGCTCCCTGCGGCGAGTCCCGAGACCTCATCATCCAGACTTTTCTACGTGTTTAACGCTCGCGCACACGGAGAAGGTGTGATTCGTGAGTGAAGTGGTGAAAGAATTCTGGAGTGGTGCACTTGGATCATTTATAATCAAGAGGAACACAAGTGGTAAAAAATTGTGTAGAGATTATGTGTAAGAGCGTTCAATGAGTGCAGGTGCAGTCCTTGGGATTGATTGTTTTTTCTGGCGTCCATCGTGGTCCAAGATCGACAATCATTGTCGTGAATCCTCTTCGAGCACGAGTGTCCAATAGTTGTTGCGAGTCCTCCACCGCCCCCCGATTGACCGGAGCACCACCGCGTGCACCGCCGCTACTGCTGCCGCGTCCGCCATCCCACCATTTTTCCATAGAACTTTCTTGCCCCTATTTACGTGAAAATACAATAGATGAATAGTCATTCGATGAAAAATCATTTGAATATTTCATTAAAAAAGAAATATTTGTTCTCTTTTATCAATAACTTTTTTCGTAAAATCTCGTCTATTCCAACACGGAACGAAGATCACCCACCATCGGTCACCGTCTCAATCCGCAATCCCTGCGATTCAAATTTGGAAAGAAATCAGCAAACCCGATCCGGTATCAAGCTCGAATTTGGAAGTTATCCGTAAATTAGGTAAGAAACTTTATCCGATATAGTTTCAAATATTTAAATTCCTAATTCGAGTGATTTTGTTGTCTTTGGTTGGTTAGTAGATATATTTGAATGATGCATGGCATATTCGCAAGATTCCAAAAAATACACTAAGTTAGGAAATTCCTAACTTAACAACGTGTCGGGACGACTATCCGATCTCAACCATGAGATACGATACTCGGTGGCACGGAAAATCTTTATCCTGTCCATAACTATTTGGATACGATAGTAGATTTTATTTTGTTCCCAAATTCAAACGAATAGCCTTCCATCAATATCCATAACCACATGGATATGATCGCCGGTTTATATCGTTTCCCTAATTCAAAGATAATAAAACAAATCTTGCGGATCGCGTGGATTGGTTTTGATCGTGGTGGTTATCTACCTATTTGATTTATTTCCTTTAAAAAGAAAATTCCAAAAAAAGATTAGTTAGGATTTGAATTGATCTTAATAGAAGATAATGATGTATGTTTAGGATAGGTTTAGAATAACTTTCTTTGAATAAGTCGATAGGATGACTTTTTAATTTAAATTAGGAATTAGAGTAATTTATTTCCTAGTTTAATTTAGATATTATCCTAATCTCGACGGTTCATTTTAGGGTAATTCTTGATTTCGAATTTTCATAAAAATACCAAAAAGAAGTCACTTTAGGATAGATTAAATTGTCCTTTTTTAGAATAGAATGCATGTTAATTTAGGCATTTTTTTATTCCGAAATTCATTCAAAAATAAATCATTTGTCCGTCATTAGAATTAGGTCACGTCGTCGCATGACATATAGTTCGCATGTTAGGTTGCATTAATCGCATGTCATTTTTTGCACGTCATTGCATATAGGTTAGTTTGCATTTTAATAAAGCGCAAACCCTAATGAACACCTTGAGTACCTTGCTTTGTTAATTAGAAATCATATTAGGATTGTCTGTGTGATTTTCTACTAACAATGCATATGCTTGCGTGGCTTTAAGGTATGTTATCCTGCTATTTATTTACTGCTTTCTTGGGTGTTAAATTGGTAGTTTGCGCACCCGCATGAACATCTCACATGTTAGTGATTAGGCAATAAAATGGATCCAGACTGCCTGCATAAACATTTTTTCAAAGGAAAAATGTACCGAAAAGGCGTTAGACTAAATCTAGCGTAACCAAGTCCCCGAGCTTAGAATTTCTGGTTCGTAGGAATAAAACATATCTCCCTATGTTTTGTTTAGGTTTCTAATCGACCTACCACAAATAGATTAGTGGCGACTCCAAGCATGAAAACTTTTGATGTTAAAAACTTAAACCCTAAGTTGCGAATTGGTAGGGCTTGGGAGGGCTCGAGTTAAGCTTAGACTTAATAATCCATTAGCCTGAGAAAATTTTAGGTCGCGACACCAAGGGTGACGGCTTTTCATCTGAACTTAATCGAGCAACGTCCCCTAATCCAAGGGTGACGGCGATCCTCCGACAACGAACCCGTCGAGCATCCGAACTTAATCGGGCAACGTCTCCTATTCCAAGGGTGACAGCGATCCGTCGACAACAAACCCGTCGGGCATCTAAACTTAATCAGGAACGTCCCCTAGTTCAAGGGTGACGACGATCCTCTGACAACGAACCCGTCGGGCATCCGAACTTAATCGGGCAACGTCCCCAATCAAGAACAACGGTTATTCTTTTCCCTCGTGCAATTATGCCAATAAGCATCATACCAACTTGAGTACATCACACGCAGTGTATATAATGCCATGTTACCTCTAAAGCCTTAAATCATGCCAGGCATGAAACCAAGCTTGTGGCTTGAACCGACCGGTCATGGCGCCGACCGACACCAAGCAAGACTTGGATTGGTACGACTCATACCGACCCTCCAAGCAAGACTCGTTCCGACACGCCTCGACGCTGATTTGAATCAAGCAAGACTCGTTCATGGCCCGGGGCGTGCTTTCACACATGAGCAAACCGTACAAATGTATACACATGCGTGGCAAGCTATATCAAGCGTTCACAATCAACGGAATCAACACAAGCACAATAAGAACATGACTCGCTCAACAACGTAACACGACACTCTAGCCAAGGTTTAGTAAGTCTACTTACTATACCACATAAACACAACAAGAACATGACTCGTTCAACCAACGTAACACATCGCCATAACTAAAGTTTAGTAGGTTTACTTATTACCCTCCAAGATCGTGGCTATGTGTGGCCTAAGAGCAAGGACACGGCGTGGCACAGGCACAGGCACAGGCGTGGCCGAGAAAGAGAGGGCGGACAAGAGAGAGTGAGGGCGTGAGGGAGAGAGAGAGAGTGGTGACGGTGGAATGGTGAGCCAAAGGGGGCTCCTCTATTTATAGACCTTAACCTCATCATTGCTTTATCAATTGGACCAATAGTCTTCTTGCATTTAAAGCTTAACTTGCTCTCGAATAGACATGGCCACGGCCGGTTTCGGCCCGGAACCGGCCAGGGTCAAACCTGGGACCAGCCCGTTGACTGGGTCCGCGGTGGCCACGGGCCGGTTCCGGTTCCAAAAAAAAAAAAACTGTAGCGTGCACGTCTGCAGGGCCACAGCCCCCACCTCCACCTCCTCCTCCTCCTCTTCTTCTCCTCCCCCGCCCCTAGCCCCAGCCCCAGCCCCAGCCCCGCCTTAGCCGACGACGACCCCGCCGCCGCCGCCATCGCTGCCACCGCCACCATTTCCTCCTCCCTCATTTCGCCTCGAAATTCCTCCCGAATCTCGAAATGCCGACGCTAGCAGCCAAATGGGTTTCTCGTTTCTCTCTCTCTCTCTCTCTCTCTCTCTCTCTCTCTCTCTCTCTCTCTCTCTCTCCTCGTAGCGTGCTCGCTCTTTCTCTCTCTACTGGTTTGGCGATGGAGAGAGGGTGGAGTGCAAGCCTTGCTGCAGCCTGCCCCTTGGCCCTTGGCAACCGGCCGGAACCGAAACCGGCCTGGAACCGCCGGTTCCGGTTCCGGTTCATACATGGCCACGAATCGGAACCGCCGGTTCGGAACTGGAACCGGCCGGTTCCGAACCGTGGCCATGTCTACTCTCGAAGTTTGGTTCTCTAACTTGCTATTCAAGTCTCCTTTAAAAGGATGATGTTTCTAGAATTCATGAAGTGTCATTCTCATTTAATGACCTTCATTAATTAGGAGATACCTAAGCTTGATCTCTATTATTGGCCATCTTGTAAGATAAGTCTCCATTATTGGTCAACTTTATAAGTTAGCCAACTTGTACGGTAAATTAGCCAACTTACTAGATAAGCTTTTAATAAAACCATTGACTTGACTAAATCAACTTGTCTTCTTGCCGACTAAATCCTAGGCATGTGTTCCAAGAACACTAAACTCTTGGCACAAATTACCTAAGCCAACGGATTGCCTTTCTATTGTGCACCAGGCTTCTAACTTCGCAAATTACCATAGCCAATTCTTTGGTTGCCCGTTCTGACCAAATCACCTTGCCCATGGCCGACCCTCGGGTCGATCCATGTACCTGTTTCTTGGCCATCTCCCTTGATCGATTAAGGGTTCGAATCATGAATGTCACAGTTCTTCCTTAGATACTTTCAGGCAAGAAGATCTATTTCTTTCTTTAGCAGCTGAGGTGTGAACAAGAAGACCAGGTTCTCGGCATCCCGAAATCAGTACCTTCATCCAAAAAAAGCCCCACTGATGCAGTCATGAGCCTCCATCAAATCAACTTTTTCCGAAGCTGCCACAAAAAATTACGACCGTGGTCATAAGCCACTGAATTGCTTTCGTCAAGGTCACCTTTTTTAATTTTCGAAACAATTTCAATAACATTCAGACACTTGCTTTTTAAGTTCATACGGTCTATAATCCTTCAAAGCCTCGAAGAACTGACAAAACTGATCTCTCATCTTTCTCAGTTTCCTTCGCTCCTAGAACCTTTTTGGCTTTTTGAAAGCTACTGGTCCACAACGTATAAAAAGAAGCATTTCAAGGCTCTGGCTAAAGTGGAGTTATCTTGCCACCATCGATTTGTTGGGCCTTTTCTTCTTACTGTAAATATTCTCGGCTTTGCACACTTTCCTCTTTTTTTGGCAGGGAAGAGAAAAGATTGGTAAATCGCGATCGCATCTTCAAAGCTCGTCCCTTTTCCTCTGTCACGCAAGCAAAAATGCCTTGGGTTTGATGGAAGCAAGATGAAAAGCTGGAAAATATGCTAAGATGGGAGGTTTCTTGTGTGACTAATTGAAGTCACTCCCCACTTTGCTATCTTGGTCAAAATCGACTTTTCATCTTTCCTGTCCGTGCATTGTTGACTTTGGCCGAGCTGGGCTTCATTCAGTTGCAAGGAACAACGTGGCTGTTGCTTGTCTGGCAGGACTTCCGGGGTTGTGTTTAGCGTCGGGGGAAAAAAACAAAGCAAAAGTATAATTGCCTGGAGCATATGAAGGTGACAACTTCTCGTGGTTCTTTGAGGACACACCCTTGTCCCGAAATGTCTCTGTTTCAATCCAGGATCAAGCAGGAACAGCTTAATGATGCCCAGACTCCATTGTCCGTTCTCTCATTTTCCTCCTCTCCTTTGCCGCTTAGCAGCGGTGGCTACCAAGAGCAATCAGCACCATCACCTTCCTCAAGTAATAAAGTTAGCCCGACAGTTTCGTTCTTTATAGTCATCCTTGCTGTTGTCTTCTTCATATCTGGTTTTCTCCACTTGCTGATCAGATTTCTCACAAAGAATAGATACCCTTCACAAATTCCAGAATCCTATAGAGACCCTGAGGTCGCTGGGTCTAATGCTTTTCAAAGGCAATTGCAGCAACTGTTCCATCTCCATGACTCCGGCCTCGATCAAGCCTTCATAAATGCTCTTCCTGTCTTCCGGTATAAGGAGATCATGGGTCTTAAGGAGCCATTCGACTGTGCCGTTTGTCTCAGTGAATTCTCCGAACAAGACGAGTTGAGATTGCTTCCACTATGTAGTCATGCTTTCCACATCGATTGTATAGACACATGGTTACTTTCCAATTCTAGTTGTCCTCTCTGCAGAGGGTCGCTCTACGGGCATGGAATTGCGATCGAAAACCCTGTTTTTCATATTGATGTGCCAAGGGAAGAAGATACGTTGCCTGCTGTTGGAGAGAGTGGGATTTCTCCTGCTATGAAGCCAGAAGAAAGTAGAATCCTTTCTTCAAAGAGGGTATTTTCGGTCAGACTGGGCAAGCTGAGAAACTCTATTAACGGTAGAGCTGAACGAAAGGGGGGAGAGGCTAGTACTAGTGGCAGCAATTTGGACTCGAGGAGGTGTTATTCGATGGGTTCGTACCAATATGTAGTTTGTGATATGGAGTTGCTAGTAGCCTCGTCCCTCAACCATGGCGACGGCGACGGCCTGGGAATCACAAAACGGATCGGTGGACGAGAAGGGAACTCCAATTCCGATGGCGACAATGGCGAGGGGAAGAGGATTAGCATCGGGAATAAAGGCGAAAGCTTTTCTGTTTCCAAGATCTGGCTTTGGTCTAACAAGACTAGAATCCCGAGTCCAGAAACTCACATAGGCAGTGTCCCTCTCGCTTCGGGTTCGCAATGGATCGACAGATCTCAGGTCACATGAGCAAGGTATTTACTACTGTGCATCATTTTCATCCACATCACTACTAGTCGTGTAAATTGACTCATGTGCGAAAAACCTTTTCGAGTTAAATCTTCTTTTTAAGCTCTGCGTGCAGTGCAAAAGTCTCTGAATGATGCTGCTTCTCTGTAGATATGCTTATACCAAAAAGATCTGACTTTACTCTGCTCTTGAGTGAATTCTCATGCGTTGCCGGATCAAGGGACAACCCTTTTTGCTCAAGAATTTGTGGTTTTCTTGCTTCTGAGCATGTAGTCCTTTGCCTGTGGTGCCTATGCTCATGATTATGAGATAATCAAACACAGAACATTTTCATAAAGTCTCGACTCTCAACCATGTCAAGTAACTCAAAAGCACCCTGCTTCGCGCCAAAATCACACCCTTTTTTGAGCGCGCACATGTTCACGCACCACCCAAAGAAGAACAAAAGGTGGAATTCCAAGGCAGATCGAAAGAATAGGAGATGGAAGTCAAATCGAGCGATGCTTTTCGGATTCCTCTAGCACTTGCTTTAGATAAAAAGGCGACAAATTCTTTTGATCTTGATCCTAAAGAGTCCATGTCAAAGCCCGAATGATGAGGGTGGGATCCTAGAAGAGTGCTGCTGGGTGGCTCTCACTTTCCACAATGATGCTTCATCATTCCTCCAAACATCGCATGGCAGAAAATTGCTTGCGGTGTTGACCTGAAATCCATTGCTCTTCCCACTAAAGAAAGGAAAAAAAAGGGACAGCAACATCAGCAGCTTCTCTTTCTTTCATTCTTTCTTGAAAAGTATACCTGAAGTGCGCATAGACAAAACTGAAAAGCAAGTTTATACGGGTTGCGCAATCCTTGATTTCGAAATTTGATCGCTCGCACTTGTATCTCGCGATTAATTTACAAACTGATACGATAAACTATGATCGGGTTGTACTTACAATCGATAAAAAAAATGTTGCATCGGCTTGTAAATCATTCTCGGTATACCTAGCAGCCGGCATTCTCCACAAGATGAATATACTTACAACTATAACAATTTTCCTCGACGATTCTACTGATATGCATTATATGCAAAATCAATTCGACATAAAAGAGAGATATCTTCGGATCGACACCTAATTACAGCCCAAACTTTTTTGTCTCATAGAAATGCACAAACTTTTTGTCAGCTACCCAAAATTAACCCTCAGTCAAGTTTTCATCCATCGAGGCCGTTAATGTGTAAGTCGAGATATTGTGTGAATCACTGCGCCTGCTGACATGGAACGACGTCCCATGAAACAACGCCAGTTCAAGCAAAAAACCAACCAAAAACTTAAGGAAACCGCGTCGTCCCATTTTTTTAGCAAAAATGAGGGCTTCTCATACTCTCCATTTGAAAACAGAAGGGAAAAAAAATTAGGAATTCGGGGTTTTTGCTTGAATAAAGAGATTTCGATATATTATGTATGATTAGATTGTTTGCTTGTTGATTGAGGTTGCAGCTCTATATGGATCGACCATCATCCACTAGGATTCGAAAATTGAAGCATTTCCTACCTCTGCAAAACCTAACTTTGCAGATCACAAGGAAAGTCCAAATGAGGAACCCTAACTTCTGCCCCAATATGCACAAACTGTCTTCTTTCAGGGCTTGAAACGACGTCGTTTTGTTGGCCGCCCTTGTTACAACGCCAGCATGCGCTATGAATTGCACAGTGCATGCCGACTACCATGTCGATTATTTAATGGCCACAATGGAGGAAAAATTAACGGACAGCGATGTTTCGCAGCGTGGAACATTGTAGCTCTATGACTGCAAGTATGTGGGTACTGCATCCTTGGCCATGATCTTGTCCCAGAGTCTGTCCTTGCAGATAAGACGATACTCATCCGTATATGATTAATACTTGAAAGCGACGAATTGTGTTCATCTTATGTTTGCGTTCGCTTCTTCACCGAAGAAGCAATTGTCCACAAATCTGATAAGCCGTCTCTAATGCAAACGTAAACAGCAGAGAGACCATATCTATTCACCCACAAAGCAATGCTAAAATTGGAATCTTAAAGAATCGCTTCATTTAAATATGATGGACAAAAGCTAGATCTGTTTTAAGATGACAAAAAAGAATACACTACATTGCCACTTCTATTGGAACAAAAAAGGGTATAAAATAGAGCTTGCAAAGGCAGAACAGCACCTCAAATCCCCCAAATGACACAAAAGGTTCCTCTCTGCACCTCGAGGGCAACATTCAGTTCCCACATATTTGTACAGATAGTCTGTAACAATCTACAAAACCAGCTATTGGGGGAAGAAAATTGTAACTAATATAAAAAGAGGAGAAAGAGGAAAAGGCCAGAGACCATCGGCATGAGTAAAAGCTCGAAAAAATTGGATGCAAGCCAGTACAGGCAAGGATGGATGCACCTGAATTGAAGAACTGAGCCTTAGGTTGCATCGGTCCTACAATCACACAAGTTGGGGCTTCTTGTCTGAGTAAATAACAGCGCACACAAAACCAGCATCAACCTTTCCAGAAAAATTGGTCATCCTCACAATCCACGTGGGAAGTTGTTGATTTGGCCTTCCTCCAAAACCTCTTTGCCATTGATCTTGTAAGCAATCCTTATGCGCATGACAAGGGATTTCTGAAAATCATAACAGCTTTATGACCTTAATAAAGCCAACAAATACACACACACACACACACACACGTAGAACTAAGATGCATCTTATTCATGATAGGTCTCGTACCGCAAATTGAATCAGTGAGTCCGAAACTAGAGATACAAACGAGACAAGACAGATGTCACCAAGACACAGCTTGACTCTAAGCAAGCCTATATGTTTTCAATGCAATCAAAGGGCAGCAGCATTGTTGCATCAAATATTCTCAATTATCATCTTTCACAACAATGAGTGAGTTGCCAACTCAAATAGGCCTACCAAACCAATTGCTTGCTAAGAAAGAGAGATATAGGGCTTACAATTAAACCTCATATAAGGTAGTGCAATGATTAATTCCTCAACTACTCCGTGCTTCCTCCACATGCAATGAATAAATTTTATGTTCTCCATAGCTAGAAAGTAACTCATATCCTCCTTTCTTATAAACTTCCAAAAGATTTCTTTAATATTGTTGCTTTCAGGATACACAACCCAACCCACAAGTCTTCGTATCCCAAAATCTGCCCATCAGTCCCCAAAATAAAAATAGGGTCAGTTGCACAAACGCCACTTGCAGTTTAGGGCTTCAATCCTTTTATAAAATGACCCCCTTGTGTCTCTAATTTGGTGTTATTAGTCAATGGACTTTGTATATTTGTGAATGTAGTCCATTCCTCCAATCGCCGTTAGAGCTTCGATAAAGTTAGGTAGGTAACATCCTCTGGCACTACCAGGTAAGATGGTTCTGTTGAAAACCCTAACCGAAGTTGAACGAAGGGATCATTTAACCAATATACAAAGTACATGGACTTATATCACTAATTTGAAAATATTGCACTCACTAGATAAAATCTCCTACAGACGGAATTGCTACCACTTTATCATACAAAGTCATCATCTCCATAACCTCGAAGGCTAGCACTTGGTTAACCTTGCTTTTCATCTTGCCTCCAACAACTGCTACTCAATGCCCTTGAGATGTCCTCCATTTATCCAACTTGGTTAAACTATCATCTAAATGCTGTTCCTATATTGAATCCTTCAGCATAGAAAGCCTAACCAGCATATCTCGAGATTTCCATCAAAATAGCACATTGTACAGATCAATGCGGAGAATGTGAAACTGAGATGAATATTGGAAGATGCCGCATCAAAACCATGACAAATGCCAGTTCCTACAATCCTATCGAGGTTCAAGAAAGAACTTCGTGGATTGATGCTGCTAAATAGCAAACATCCACTTGAATATGTCCTAAAACCTAAACCTTCAGATCCAGACAGCACATCTTTATTTTCCAAATGAACCCCTATGTGTACACCACTTGTGAACCAATATTCAAAAGCTCTCATACATAGATTACATGGAAAAGGCTGGAAGTGATAATCCAGCTTAAGCATACTTGTAGATGATTCATCTCAAATGATAACAAGAATATGAGCAAACCAAGATAAAGGGTAGTAAATAAAAGATGATGAAGAAAGACAAGGTTCTTCTCAGACTAGACAAAATATGATGGACTCTTGCACTTTGAAGAAGCACTAAGTGGATGATACCTACAATATCAACACAGTCATGTCTGCTTCAACAAATTAACAACTCAGCTGTAATTCCATCTAGATGTTATCCAACAAACTACTCGAACCCAAACAGGAAGAAGTTATTCATTAGCAGCAGCAATTGCTGCATGAATTAATATCGGCATAGTATTTACAATGACAGATTGCTCTATCAGCTACTTATTAAGAACAACCATACCCTTTCTTCTTGATCACTGATTTTCGCAACATATTGGCGGACGTCATTTGGATAATCAATGGACCAAAATGAGAAATCACCAAAACTAAGAGATGGCAACTAAGATACAAATTAAGGACAAGAGATTCGCAATTTTAGTTAAGAATGTTGAAAATACGGACAAAGGAAAAAAGACTGATCCAAATCAAAACAGGCTAAAGTCTTTCCATTAAATGCAACATAAACCAGAAAATAATGGTAATTACACTGAACGTAGAGAAAACAGACAGAGGCAAGGCAACAATTTGTTTACCTTTCCATGTTGGCTGTTAGTAACTCTCAGAGTTTGTGTGACAGTGCCACTACCACTTGCAGGGAGAGTATTGCCACTAGCTGGATCTAAATGTAGCTGAAGAAACTGTTCATTAAAAACGAGAAATTAGAACAGCTTAATGAATAACTCCCAAAAGGAAACCCAGGCATAGAAGAAACTGATATCCCAACATAACTTGTCAAATTATTTCTAAGAGTGCATGTATTTTATCAACAACAAATTTTTCGTTGACTTATTGAACAACATATGTACTCAGAACTTGCACATGATTCTGCAATGACATATCATATTTGATGGACCAGCTTGCTCTGTCCATGCGAAAAATAAAGCTGGGGATGTTGACACATGTAAATCAAAAACCGTTACACTTGAAAACAATAGTGGGGGATTACCTTCGGAACTGCTGCCTGAAAAACAAAATCTGCATAAACATTGGATGACAAATTCGTAAAAGTTGCCTTAATCACTGTAATTTGCGGGTTTCCAGGCGACTTTGAAAAGTCAAACATAATTCTCAAGGAACTGCTTTCAAACGCAACGATGGATGGATAGGCTGGACCATTGTTTTCTGTTCATCAGAAAAGTGATAGTGATAATCTGAACAAAGATGCCAAGAAATGCCCCAGTACTGATAAAATATTACCAGGCACTGGTGGACTGGGTCCAAGGCCATCCAACAAGTCTATAATAGGAGAAGCTGCTTGCGGGGAGGCTGCACGTGTAGACACTGGTGAAAGTGTTGACAAGCCATCCAGACTGGCAACTGGCGTCTTCTGGTTTTGGCTAGGAGAAAATATGTCAGGTGTAAATGAGCTGCTCTGTGCCGGAGGCGTTCCAATAGACAAAATACCCAACAGAACATCCGTGTCATTCTTTGCAGCCTGACTCGTACCTAATGCATAAAAACAAGTCAACAACATCTGTGCATTAATTCTAAAAACTCATCCATACCTAAATTCACATGAACAAGGGCGTATAGAACAACTGGTGGAACAAAAGTAATTCAGAATCTCAGATAAGGCTGCTATGTCATCCTAAAGAAGTATCCCCAACTGCTAGCGATAGCCAGGTAGCAGTGGATGCATACAAAAAAAAATATGGTAGCACCAGAATTCAAAGCCAGAACCTGTGCAAGATTCTTCATGAGGATAACTGGAATTTCAATAAAGCTTAAACACAGAAATAAGTTTTCAGTGCTTTCACATTTTCAAGAAAGATCAAAGAAAGACGGAAAATCAAAGGCAATTGGTTAAAAGACATTATTTAACCACAACATCATTTCCAAAAAGTTGAGCAGTAGTTATGGCTTGTAACCAACAAATAAAATGTTCTATACACAGGCATTATCGCTACAGTAGAGCTAAAAAAGTTCAGCATCCCTTCAGTATGCTAATAGTAAGCTAAATCCACTCAGGTTGAGCACCTACGGTGCACCCAAAATTATTCTCAGAAGATGAATGCGATCCGCACCTTTTGCTCATGGCAAGTGAGAGAGAGAGAAGACGGTTGTGGGGGGTGGGGCATAGTGGTCAGTGGCGGCAGCCAGCTGCCGCTGGTGGCAGGTGGCAGTGGTGTGGTGAGCAGAAAGAGATTAGGCCTTGAGACTTTTGAGGGGTCTTCTTTTGGGAATTAGGTTTTTTGAGTATTTGGAAGGGTTGTTTTGTCCGTTCGGTATGCAGTAAAGTCACAAAATGCAAATGGGAGACATTTGAATTAGGGGATGCAAAGTGGAACGAGGCAAAAGAAGAGGCAGATACTCGTATATTTCAATTTTATTCAATGTACGCCAAACAATATATCTCAAACGTACATAACAAATATTATCTCTCAAATAAAAGTCTAGCCTTCGTGATCATGCTGCAGAGTCCACAGCTCATAGCGTAGAAGGAATATATTGCTACAAGAAGCTGGATTAAAAGCACAACCTAGACGGATGGTTGTTTATAAAGTTCATGAATGATGTTTTCTGAACTAACCTGAATGAGCTGAGGCTGGTGACAAATCAACACCGAGAATATCATGAAGGAAATCACCACCGGATGAACTTGGAACAGGGACATCATCTGAAGTAAGATCTACTAAATCCACCAGCGGTGCTGCAGTTGGTTTGGCAACTCCATTTGGAACTTTAAGAGAAGCTCCAGTGGAGGGTGAAACAGTTGTTGGAACAGAGGCAGCCCTTCTTCCACTAAAAGTGGCCTCATCCAGAACCGGCATTCTTTCAACCAGAGCAGACCTGCACAAAGCCATCCATCAAACAATGATTATGAGAGAATGCACTAGCATATCGTTCTGCAGTAAATGAACAGCTTTTTTTTTGAAAGAGTGACAGACAATGGAAGGATAGTTTGAACCTTGAAGGAGGTGGCAAAATAATATTAAAAAAATACAAAACTCGATTTGGTACCTAATGTTTCGATGTTTATCGAGTATAGAGTTGAACTCGATTGATCTTTGCTGCAATTCAAGGACAAGGCTCCCTTTTTGTTGAACAATTATATCCCTGATCCTCCTGCACGGAAGGGGCAAAAACAGCAAAAAAAGAACGGATGGAAAAGTTGTATGATATAGCAAACCAAATAAAAATTTACGCTTAGAGATGACGGTATATTGGTGAGGTCAATTATGGTCCAGGAATAGTAAATAGGTAAGCTATGCAAGGGAAAAACTGTAAAAGAACAAGAAAGAGAGAAGTTTGATTTTTTTAAAATGGCAAGAAAAGCCTTCAGCTGCGTAATATTCAGAACCTTCACTGAGACATAAGAGTTCCTCAATGGATAATCAGGGGAATGGATGCAAGAAAAAGTAGATGGTAACAGTAAGGTAAAAACTGGACTAGAAGATGACAAGGAATTTACATACTCTGAACAAGATGGAAAACGTGAAGACAACTTTAGCAAAGCAATTAAGGCCATTGCTTTAGTTGTGAGATCTGAGGTATGTCGTTTAATTGCAATTTCCGCAACATCCACAGCATCAGACTCTGTCACCTGCTCAGCAAAATGCAAATAGAGTTCTTTCATGAAAATTACAAATGCATGCCAGTAGTCAAACTCAAGCATCCGGTGCTAAGAACAATTCAAATAACCCAATGTTGCAGACATCGGATTTGTTTTAAGTGAGTCAATAAAAAATTTGATAACCAAAATATAGACTTTCCTAACCCCATGTTTGTCAAATAAATGGCAAGGAGCAACATTGCAACCGTGAAGGTTTAGGAAATAATTTCACCCACTTGTCAACTCAACTTAAAACATGATCATGAATATGACAACTTGATGTGTCTCAGAGAATTTTGGCTAATTACAGTAGCTTAAGGAAAAAGCTTGCAGCACAACTATATAGTAAACTATTGAAGGAAAGACCAGAAAACAAATACGCAACTACTGAATGCGACAATGAGAAAACAAGAAATGAACTATTTGATAAGAACCAGAGATGTCTAACTGATTATGTTACCCACATCTATTATTAAATTTGCACTTCCAACAGCACTGGATATTTAGGAGAAAGGTCATCATCAAATCGAATAGTAAATAAGTTTCAAGGAATGACATCCTTTTTAATCTATCTTCTTTTGCCCTCCCCTTATTTCCAGGATGAAGCAAAAAGTACACAAAATTGTACATGCATGCGGGATAGTAAACTCACAGTTATTGGATCCTCTACATCAAGCATCCCGACATTTTTTACCAACATATCACCATATTCTCCGATGCACCAGACTGCAACCCGAACTAGAGATTCCTGATAATAGTACCAATCAGAAACGTATTTTACATGACTACACCGAACATCACAAAACTATTATGGAACATCTATCAGATAAAATTAAGATTGAAATACCTGTTCTGATGATGCCTGGAATGCTCTATATAACGCCCTAACTGTATATCCATGGAGATCAGTTGCATTACTTATCACCACAATAAGGGCATGGCATACTTCATCTTTTACAAAGTTTCCAGCCTAGAAAATTTAGCATATAAAAAAAAGGTGTTAATTAATAGATATATGGATACATCAAAAGTAATTATAACCACAAGACTCTTCATGATTGTTAAAAAGTGTGAAGTGCATCATACATCATTAAGAGGATTGCAAAGGGGAAGTAAGGAAGGAAATATTTTGTGCTGAGATAATTAAATCAATCAGATATAAGAATCTGATGTGCTTTGCTGGATGTTTGGTGCTGGAAAATTTCAATGACTTAACACAGCATTAATATTCTTTCTGCTTTCTGTTTTCAGAAAATAAATTTTGTTTTCTTTGCTTCAGAGCAAGTTCCAAGTAACCAACTATATACAAAGTTCATGGTTAATGAGAGAATATGAGAAGACAATTGGTGTAGACCAGAAGCAATTGAGAGAGAGAGAGAGATGACAAAAGTGGCATCACCATGTTCAAGGAAAAACGACTTAAAATTACGAATGTACTGGTGATTCATTGACAAAAACAGTTCGACAAGTGGATTATTAAGACCAGATGATTGCCAATGTCATTACAGTACACAATGACGAGTGAGCATAATCATGCAGAGGAGATGCTCAGCAGACGCCATCAGAAATAAAAGAGGGAAAACAAATCGAAAGTGCTCCTACAGACAAGCTTTGTGAAATTCTTTTACACCTACCTCGGACAGAACCTTCAACATTTGATCGATGTACCAGATTTTTTCAGGAGAGAACCTAAAGCACCAAGTACCAAAACAAAATAGAAATAGTCAATATACATTAGCACGAGAGAGAGAGAGAGAGATTAAAGTGAACAGATGTAGTATCTTCTCTATTTCAGGCAATGTAACACAAAGGGAGAGGGAAAATATTTCCTTTCATTTGTAGTTGGCTTGAGTGATACTTTTGCACAGGTCATAGCAGCCAAAAGAATCACCTTTAAGTAAATAAAAACTGAAAGAAATATGGATTGGATGCTCCCTGTTAGGGGATCTTGACATATTAATAATTTCCCTCCCAAGATGAACTAAACTCAACCACTTAAGCGAATCCGTGAGCTTAGTACCCCTCAACAACTCCTATGTTGCCTACATGATATTTCTGAAATCAAGGAGAACAACCAGAAAACTTACTTTTCTACAATAGAGCAGATTTTGGCCGTAAGATCTCCTTTGAATTCCTGATCACTTACTTCCAGGTAATCAATAAGCTCTTTTGTGAGAGGCTTCACATTACTCTCATTTATCAACAGATAAACAAGTTCAAGTGCCCTTTTCCGAATCGAAGCATCAGAATCCTGAAAGGCAAAGTCAAGTGACAATATTCATGTTTCTGTTAAATCAAGGATGGTTCTCACAAAAGAAACAGGGGAAAAAGAAAAGCAAAGTCAAACTAGAATTTCAAGATCACAATTACACATAAACTGCATGTGAGTATCTACCAAGAGTCCTTAGTGTATAACACCAAAAAAAATATTTCATAACAAAGTATTAACAACTAGCACATACAATCCCTTGACTGAAAAAGGACTTCAGGAAATAAAACCAAGAAATGAGACAGATCAACTCATTTATTTGGGAAAAATTATAAATTTTGCTACCTTGACACATTCCAAGATTGTTGCTCGATGCCTCTGAACAGCTTGAGCATCCACTGAAATAGCTTTCATCAGCATATTTAATGCAACGTATCTACCAAAACCCAAAATGTTCATAGTCAAATGTAAAGAAACAACCAGCTAATCTTAGAAACGCATGAAGAGGGAAAAAAAAAGAGGGAGGGAAAAAATTTTATCGACTGGGTGACCATAAAATGCAAAGAGAAGGTCAATACCCCTACAGACCCAAGATTTGGACTTCAGAGGAATCAAACATTCCAGATATCATAGAAGCTTGTCTATGACTGCCTGAGCATCAACAAGATCTCTTTTTCCATGGCAGTGGGACGTGGGTGATCCCACAATGTTGCAGTTAACGAAAAAGTTTACTTAAGGCAAGTTTATCAGTAAGTTCAATTAAACATCTATGCAGTGTTATCGGTCCTGCCAAGTATAATGACATTTCATGGTACAAGCAATATCTAGACATATCATTCTGATGGTGCAATACCTATGAAATCAGTCACAGAATTGCAGATCTCTTGTCTACCCTTAGTTCACATGCATACGATGCCACATAAACCACAAAAATGTTTGAGAAAATCCAAGATCCCTATGTATTTTTATCCTCTCTTTTAGACCAAGACTGCACATCTTCCATCTCGTATGTGTTTTAAACAATGCTGCTAAAAGTCCTCTCAGCCAACACACAGAAAACAAGATAATAAGCTATTTTTCATCATCAGGAAATTATATGTCAACCATTATAATTGCAACATCATAACAAACAATTCCAAAGTTCAAATTCCCACATTGCATCAACAGCGAGCCCCGCTATTCCGAGTAAACACAAATGAAAACTCAGTAATACAATTGCTCACACAGGGAGACGAGCAAGAATCAACATGGCAAATAGAGCATTACTACATTTAAAAGAAAAAATTAGGAGATAACCAACTGTACGCATTTCTATTAAAATCTTACAAATGCAATGTATTAATTGATTATCAAGGGAAACCTGATATTGTTGTCGCGATTTGACAAGAATCTTCCTAAGATATTTATGGCCAGCACACGTAAGCCACCATTATCTTCAATGCTCATGATAGTCTCCACGCATTCATACAAAATAGCATTGCCAGCATTTTTGTTCGACTCTGTTTTGGTGGCCACCTAAACAAGCATTCAGATAACTAGTCAAAAAATGAAGGGCTATACCTGAAAAGCAAGTGAGCTGCCATGCACATTTCAGTATGCTTAAAATTCATGCTGACTGCATAATGCATATATTCAATGAGCTTCTTCAGCTTAGAATTATTGGTGTAAGTTAAAGTGTAACTGACATAGCAACAGATCAAATCAAAAGGTGCAAGTTCACAGTTAGAGCAAATGTTTGAAAAGTTAGAATAGAAGAGGCAATTTTCACATTGCTGACTCATAGCAGCTGTTTTTTCATTATCGACAGAAGGACAATTATGTCGTTTGGCCGGAAAACCAAGATTAAATACAGGATGATAAAAACAAAACCTGCACATAGACTGTCCACATCAAATGATTATACAGCTACATTTAAAGGGATGCGTTAACAAAATGAGAATCAGATGACTGGTTTACCTGAGCTAGTATGTCATTCATACTGTCACTGGCATCAGCATCTCCTTGCCCCAATACTCGCAAACACTTGAGTAATCTGATATGGAGGAAAGGGTCTGTAATGCCACCAACATCATACTCTGGTGCATATGGACTATTTGCGACATCCTTCAGAGTTTTTACTAAAACCTCAGTGCATTTCTACAATGAAGATGATCAAGTTTTCAGTCGGTACACGGCAGAATAAGAAATGGAAATAGCTTAATCATACGATTGGTTCAGTTAAGAAGAGCATTCTCAAGAAACTCTACAAGCCTTCCCCAAAGCAACTTCGATTTATGTTTCCTAATCCCGTTAGCACGGAGAAGTCTTTCAGATATTTCTCAAGTCAATTTAATATTATGATGAGGAGCAAAAAAAAAAGACGAGAAAAAAAGAGAGGGAAAGCATGAGCCTTAAATTGTGACCCAGATGAGGACAAAGACATTGCAACTGTACGAAGGGTTGAGCCAATTTTCTGAACCTAAAATGACATTTTCCATTACTTTATTTGTGAAAGATAAACCCTTCGTTGCATGGTGCGAATTTGTAGCTTCAGTCAAGATTAATTTACCTTTCTGAAGTATTCAAGTGCTTCAGAGCTGACTTTACATAGATCTGTACAGAGTTGAACTCCAGTAATCAAAACTCCATGATGCTTTTCTTTAAGTAGCGCAGCAGTAGGATTTATGAAATTCTCAGCAAGGTCAGGAACTTTCTTGATAATCCTTATGGAGCATAATGCTGCCTGTTAAAGTTGCATCAACTTGAAATTAAATCAGGTTACAGAAAGTAAACATGTCAAATGCTGACATACACTTAGGAAATAACAATGCAACTTCTTGATGGAAAATTGTATGATCACATAGTACACTGAATTTAATATTAAATATTCACAAGCATTAGCCCCAAAACCGTAAAGCGTGATCCATGACTATGTGAAAGAGAACATTGTATCAGGAATTCCACTTGACTATCCAAGAGAAAAGTTGACATGTCTTTCAACATTGAACCTAGACAGATACAAGTGACAGCTCTATTCGGATGTTACCATGAAAACAAAAAGCTTCTTTTTAATGAAAAGCAGAATAACAGTGCATTTTTCCACAAAGCCCCAGAAGTATGCTTCTAGGATGATTAAAATACGTTACAAACATTGCCATTAGCCAGACAACATAAAAGAGGCAGTCATGCTTAATTTGAATAAATGAGTTGTGTATTTAAGCCTCTGGCTATTTAAGAATCAGTGATATAAAAAGGAGCTTCCTCCATTTTGACTAAATCAGGCTCTATCCACATAAGTAACATGCAACATAAAGGGAATAAAATGCTGGAAGTCAGAGAATACTAAAACAATGTTATCGAGGTGGGACAACAAAATCAAATTCCCTTTTGATGGAGCTAAGCCAACATTCTTGCTGCCACGTGAAGACTAATCTTATTGCTGCCAAAGGAAGCAGAACAAACATGTACTTTCCTAAAGCTCAGAAATCACAATGTTGACATAGCAGAGACATATAATGTAAAAACTCACCTTTTTCCTAATGTTTGGATCTCGAAACTGCAGTAACCTCTCAACTTCTGGTGCAAGATCTCGCGCCATTTCTGCTGAACATATATTTCCAAGAGCACAAAGCGCAAGTCCCACTATATACTGGTTAGTGTGATTTAGGTCTCTGCACATGGTTAAGGCAGTTGCAAACAATGGTCCAAATCGTTTTGTACAACTTAATTGCTTGAACATCAAACTGTCTTTTCATTGAAATTTTGAGCGGAGGTAAATAAACAGAAGATAGCACATTTAAAACATCATGGACGAGGACAGAGATACGCATTCAATCTGCATGAGAAAAATTATATTATATGCATACTTGCAAAAGGATACTGTTTCAATGAATTAGTCACCAGCATGAGAACTTCTTGTCTCTCATCAAGAAGCAACATCAAGCCGAGATAACCAATCCTCTTCTCAGGAAAGCCAGCAGATGCAATCAACTTAAGGCACTCCATTTGACCAAAGTGTGTTGGGTAACCAAGCATGTGAATGAACATGAGCTTTGCCAGGTTGCGGTGTCTATAATCCTGGTCATTTTCATTGATTGCAGCCCGTATCGCCGCACATTCTTTTCTTACGACAGCACGCTCTTCTGCAGCAGTTTTGCAGGCACGTATTGACCGGATCATGTCCCTGCATTGAACCAGCGAACCAAATTCTAACTAGTTCCTTTTCATCAAATTTGTTAAAAGAGAGAATATGACTCGGTCAACCAACCACAAGCCGTATTAAAGTAACACGTTCAAGTTCAGTTGTTCAAGAATTAAATAAACGCTAGGCCACTTTGCACAGAAAATATCCCAAAATTCAAGAGTTCAAATATGAATATGTTCTATCAAAAGCACACCATATGTTGCCTTCTTTGGTGTCTAGCAGCCACAGAGACATACTTCAAACATTGAGGCACTTCTACATCAAAATATGAACTAATGCCCAGCATATTACTAGTTTTCAGGACTTAGCCACATAGCAGTCCTAAATAGTAACCTATAAGATTTCAACTCCTTCGAGCTCTGCCCTACTACATAATCAATCTCGATGTTTAAATTTGCATTTGTGATGTTTTTTCCCACATCTCCACAGAGTGCAACATGATAAGACTTCCCTAATGCTTTCAGATTCGAATTCTCTATATGTTGGCATATCTTATCTGATGCGGGTTTGCATAAAAGCACACTCGCAATGGGATCCACACGCTGTGGACCTCAAAGATTTTAATGAACATTCAGCCCATCAAGAGTATGGCATTGAAGTCAATACTTAAGTTTTGCAGGTTATCAAAATAAATTGAGTCACATCAATGAAACATCCCAGACAGATGCAACCAGAATAGTAGATGCGGAAGAAACTAGTTTGTTAGATCAGAATGCTCAGCTTATGCTAGAATGAAGAAAAGGCTGTGAACTATTGAAAGGATTTATGCCCTTTAACTAACACTAGGACAAGTAACCCTCGATTGGTCCCACCTTCCCATTAACACTCATAATTCGATGCGGAGGACTTCATCTAGATTTCAAAGCAAAAAGCTCCCCTCCCAATGAAACTGCATCGAACGATAAAGTCTTCAGAAATGAAGACACCAGTGGACGTTAGACGATACCACAACCCTCCGCAGAATCAGTAGGCAGAACTCACATCGGTCAGCGGGCACTACTCGATATGCATATTTATGGAACAGACATAATCCGACCCCGTTTTCAATTTCCCCATGTATCTGAATTCAGCGCATATACTGCATGGAATCTAACACTTTGCCGATGCCCATTAACAAGCACGAGAAAACCCACTACCACGACATTAGGGAGCATCCCGAGCAAACAACGCTAGCTCCCCAATTCCAGTTACCGCGCAATCGCGGCACGCCTCGCAACTGATCTACTTCCTTAGTGCGTTGCGAGCGAGGACGGGGGGGGGCAATCCAATGCGCCGAACCGAACTCGCATCAATTCCGCCAAGCAACACCAATCTCACGCCCCACTCCCCTCCCCCCCGATCGAGCCACAAACGACGACCGACGAGCCGACGAATATCCAAAAAAGAAAAAAAAGACGTCGCATTTGATCTCGCAACAACAACAACAACAAGAACCAGCAACAAAATCAGGAGGAAAAGAAAGAATTCGGAGCTGACCTGAGACGCGTTCCGGAGGAGAAGGGATTCATGATGGAATCCAGATTGGGAACCCGCCCCCCGAACCAGATCCCGAATTGGCGCGGCCCGCACCGCCCGGGGGAAGAGGGACCTCGGACCTAGGAAGATCGCGCCCCAGCCGAGGAGGACGGCCCTCCGCGGATCACGGCGGCGACGCGGGAAGCAGCAAACGCCGACGACGAGCGGGAGGAGGAGGCGGCGGAGGAGGACGGCGGCGGAGGAATCGGACGGAGGAGGGGCGGTGGAGCTGGAGATCTGAGACTTTTGGTTGTTGTGGATCTACGACGAGGCGAGAGGAGGAGGGGGAAGGTGACTTTCCGGGCGTGTTTTCTCGGAGCTGAATGATGGCATGATGAACGCTGGTGCTGATTTTTGCTGGAACGATTCGAGAGAAATATTTAATTAATTAATTAAAACGGAAAAATGGGGGAATTGAACAATACGAGCACTTTGGTTAAAACAGAAAAAAAAAAATTAATACCACGAAAAAACCCCAAACTGATATATCAGTTAGGGGTGTCAATGGATCGGGTCGGGTTTTCATGATACCCGACCCGACCTGAAACAATGAATGTGTGTGCTTGCCCGACCCGAAACAAGACCCGAACATGATATAGCTGCACCATCGGGTCGGGTCGGTTCGGGTTCGTATTTTAGATTTTTATTATAAATTAAGGTTAAATTACACCTAGAGGTGTCAATGAGTCGGGTTGGGTCTAGTCTCCACGCTACCCGACTCGACCCAAATCATAAAAGATATGTGGACTCTTGACCCGAACCGAACATGACCTGAAACGCAAAACCGGATCGGGCCGGGCCGGGTCGGGTTTTGGGTCTTTTTGGGTTCAAGCTAATATTTTGACGATGTTACAATTGATTCGAAGGTTGGTGCTTATTGTTTGTTTTATCTAAATTGACACTTCCCATGTATCCCCGGTTTTCGTCGCCCTCGATTGCCTCTGAATTCGGGGATTCTGATTGCCACTCGTCTCCGTTCTCACGTTTCGGTTTCTGCTTAATGCGGGTCAAGATGCTCCGAAACCATGCTTTTTACCGATTCTGTCATGGATTTGCCCGGGAATTACATCATGCTGTCTCGTCATTTGCTTGAAAGTTATCGGATTTGATGCAAGTATGCATCTTTGCTTGATGAACTTATCAAGTTATCTACCAAAGACACAAATGCAGATGAAGACTTGAAATTTTGCCGGTTGAATCGTTGATCTAGTGACACCACTTCGAGATGGACTATGGTGACTCGTGAGCTCTTTGGACCGGATGATGGCGGCAGAGTAGATGAGGAGGATGGAGGCAGAGTCGCCGAGGAGGACGAAGTTGACGACGGCGGGCGATTTCACGTTCTGGAGGAGGACGAAGTTGAACGACAGTGCTACAAAGTGAAATGTGTTTCGGTTCTAAAAATAAAAATATATGTGTTTTGGTTCGGTTCGTGTTCTAAACACGAACCGAACCGAAACCATTGAGATACCCATTTGCTTAGCTAATACCCGAACATGAAGTTGACCCGGCCCGAAAATACCCTAAACTTCGGATTGGGTCGGTTCGTATTTCGGTTCGAGTATATTGTTTGGTTTTGACACCCCTAATATCTGTGACAATTTTATCCAAAATTAATATTTTGACCATCAAAAACCCCAAAACCGGTACACCCGTGACAAATTTACTCTCGGTTTGTTTCCGTTAAATTTTACTGTCGAATTGCTTTGTTAAATGACACACGATAGTTGACTAATGTGCAAGTTTTATTTACGTTTGGATTATAAATTCTGCACTTGGGCATAGGAACCCAACACTTTTTCCTGGACCTGGGACACCGACCGTTCCCGGGATGCCAGGCTTGGGTTCTCGGTGCCCATGCCCAGGTCATTTAAATCGAGCCCCGAACTTCGATGCCTGTGCATGAGTCCATCGAGGTTGGACACAAGACTCTTATGCCCATGCTTGGGTCCCTTGCGCCTGTGTCTCGATCCATCGATGCTATGCCAAGGTCCGACCCAAGGGATCAGGGCTTGGCCTTGATGGACTTGGGTATGAGCACCAAGGTTCCAAGCCCAACCTCAATGGACCCAAGTCCGAGCGCAAGGGACTAGGTCTCAGAAACTAGGTTTAGGGCCCGACCTTGATGGACTTGAGTGTGGGCACCGGTACTAGAGTCCTAAGGATGGGCATCGGTACTAGAGTCCCAAGGGTGGCCTCAATTAACCTAGGCCTAAGCGCTGGGGTTTAGAGCTCAACCTCGATGGACCCACGACTAGGTGCCAAGGACCACGCTTGGGTGCCGAGGACCTGGGCCCCAGCCTTTGTAGACCAGGGTCAAGGCACTGAGTTATCGGGCTCGGTTCGGGTGGACCCAAGACTAGTGCCCATGCTTGTGCCTAGGAGTCAGGAATTCAGGCTTGAGACCTCAGTGCCTATGTTAGGTCATTAGCTACCCATGTGCAAGTCACTAGAGCCAATATTGTCATTTTCTTAGAAAATAACTTTCTGGAAAACATGTTCCAGAAATATCACATTGTTTACAAAACAAACGGATAAAAAAACGTTTTACATATAATTAAAAACCAATAAATACAAATCATTTAACACACATTTCGAATTGGGGTCATTTTTATTTTAATAGTCAATTAAAGAAAGTAATAGATAGACCTCATTTAATAACAAGATGCAATTTGCCATTAAAAAGAAAATAACAAGATACGAATTTATAATAATGGTCTATCTGTAGTTATTTCACACTATCAAAACGAAAGCCCATGCCTACACAGCCGTACTAAAATTCAAATGCTACCTTAATGCACGGATGAAAAGCTTGCTTAAACCCAACTCGGAAGTTCGGTCACGAGAAGAATTAGCATTCCGCGATGCGTTTTTTTAGGTATCACGGCCCTATTTTAAATATGTCGTAAATTAATTTCCTAAGCATGTGCGATAATCTTTTGTTTCAGAATTAAATAAAGAAGTGCATTGGCCAAACTCCTCTGAGGCAGAAAATGTGGATGTCGGGCCTTAGCATGTCCCCAAGGGTTACACCCGGTCCACGAGGTGTAAAAATGAAGTTGGGTATTGCCGGGGTTGGGGCAATAAAAAAATTCTGATCCAATAGAGGGGATTAGGACGTGTAAGTACCGGCGCATTAAAATAAGGAACGCAATTAGGCTTATCTTAACCCGGTGGACCTCGGAAGATTGATGAAACGATGGAGGCAAACATTTGCCAGATTCGCAGGGGACAAACGAAGAATGAGCAAGACTAGACAGCCCTTTGGGTGGGTAGTATTTGTCTGGTCAGGAGGAAGTGAATGAGAGGGGACTACACAATACTCAATCCCTATTGTGGTGATCATCTGAATGTCATCCGTTAATGGCAGGTTGGACTGTATTATCCTTAATTTGGCCTGGTTGGTTTTCCTGTCTGGTTTTTTTCCTTGAAAGACGTTTTCCCGGCTGGGGCCGAGATAAAATGATCGGTCGAACGACTTGTCGTGGTCCCGTTTCGCAACAGTGCAACTTCCCTATGCACCATGGCAATCGAGGCTCGCCACGATTCCATGACAAGCAAGTCTTAAGGTCACCCACATGACGAAAACACGACAACATGAAGGCAGTCGGGATAAATTCGTAAGAAACCGTAGATTCGACGAGTCCTTGTGTTTCTTTCGAGTGAATCGTTTACGTTATCACCTTGGAGAGAGGACATGAATAGACACGGATCGATACAAATTATAATGCGAAGATCTCATCTTTCTATGAAGTTTCGTTTTCGACGACATAATTGCCTAAGTTCTCGGGCAACGCAGCTGGTTAGGAACTACGACTCCTGGCTTCTCTTCTGATGTGGATGGATTCCGACATCGAAGACGACCCAGGTCCTGAGTAGGTTTCCATGTTCGGACTATAGAGAATGCTTGATGACATGAGCTGAGACAGTGACAGGTCACGTAAAACAGACATTAGTCGCAATCTTGTCTGGAAGGGAGAGTGCACATGAACGAGAGCCTCAGATCCACACAACCTCGGTCTTATTCTAGGCAACTGCACTGTCGTTACTGAAATGTTTTGTAGTTTATAGTTTATAGAATAGCGGCCATGTTCAACTGAGAAGAAAAGGGCATCCTCCAGGACAAATGCAGGACACAGATTTCATCATGGTGCTATTACCCTTACACTGGCTTACAAACATTTCGACTGAACCTAATCGAAGCGCTTCGCCTCCGAAAATCCGGTGCCACACTTCTTTTTCTCCTGTCTCTCTAAGATCAATCCCGATACTGCCTTCAGGCAAAACATAGGAGGCCAATATAGAGGTAAAAAGAACGAGAGCACGATTTGAAGATGCTCCCTTTCTTCCTCATTAATAACCACGGTAGCCCATCGCGTTCATTCGAGAGCGGATGTTGTGATGATCATAAATTGGGTTTCCGTAATCGACCGGCTTTATTACCGTTGCTTCACGCCTTGCCTCCTGTTCTTGAACTGCCCCGAAGATTACCTCGTTGGTTTTCTCGAAGCTCTGCTCGTAGTACGTATGAGGGATGGATGAATGATAGCGGTGATGATGCTGCTGTTTCTGCGGATGGCGACCGAGATCTCCGTCCCATCCGTTGTAGAAAGCTCGACTCTGTCTCAGATGATGCATCTTTTCCGCATCTTTGGACATGAAAGGATATGTTTTCTTCGGAGTTTGATCCCTAGTTTCGATTGAAGGTGGCTCGTCTCCATCCGGTATCACAAAACTCTCCTGCACCGGCCAAGCATTCGGATGCTTTTGCTGTTGATAGTACTGCTGCTCGTGCAAAGGCTGATAGTCAATTGACTTCTTGCGCAGACTAGGGAAAACTCCTCCCATTATCTCCAGAGCAGATGATCTAGTGCTCATAAGAAGCTTAAATAGGGATCCAAAGAACCCTTCTTCTTGCTTCTCCTGTTCATATTCGCTTGGGATTAGAGGTTGCCTAAATGATTTCGAAGGCTTCTGATATGGACTGGGTGGACTGTCTTTCATTTCAGACTGATCCTTCAAAGGCATAAGACAAAATATTAAACATGTATACCACATCAGATTTCTCAAGAGGCACTTGGGCTAAAGCTTCTGCAGCCACGTGATCAAGAAGTCAAATAACTGAGCATTAACCCAGCTTTAACATTGTGGCATAGCCCATTCTCATACATCAACCTACTTTATCCTATTAAAATGAGAAACGACGTCGTCCAATTACTAGTCAATATAATTAATGCAGAGAGCTCTCCCCCTAGGAATCCTTATCACACCAACATAAAGATGAGTTTGGCGAAATGATAGAAGCATCAAGTTTAGAATAAAATTGCATCATAGGGAATGGATCCTCTTCTTTTCCCCCAAATATATTCAAATGCATAAAAGAATGTAGCTAAATACTCACATTTTGGGATGACACAATCGTGCTCACTCTATATTGAAGCAAAGCCAGCATGTAACCGAAGAAACCTGCTCCAAGCAGCACTGCAAACCCTGTAATGTTTAAAGACGCTACATTAGCATCCACTCAGTGAAGTATAACCATACTCTTGAATGTGAAGTGATTCATTTACCAAGAGGAAAACCACTGTCATATTGATATGCACAGTCATCAAAATGGAGATGAATTTCCCTGATAGCACGATTTCCTCTGTCTATGACAAGTAAGGAGCAACTGCTTCCTATGTAGACGACATCAAAATCATCAGAGAACTTAGCATCTTCACTCGGGCCATCAACATGGCCGCCTCCCTTCCCCCATTTCCCTCCTGCAATTGTTGTAACCCCTGTACAAATAAAATTAGACAAAAATGCAAAATAAATACAAGTCTTAGAGTATATAAAGAAGATTCAGCATGACAAATAATTGACAGCTAGGACTTATATAGACATGGAAAAGGTCCAACTTTGAAGATAATTTAGTCGCATATTCACTCAGGTTTGCAGGTACACTGAAAGTAATGCATATCACACTTGCCTGAATCACTGATTTTTCTGATGGCCATATTCATGGTATCTGCAATGTAAATGTTCCCTTTGTCATCTACGGTAAGGCCTTTTGGATGGTTCATCTTAGCTTCTCTGGGCTTTCCATCTACATGCCCAGCATATCCAGCCGGTGAACCCGCAACCAGTTTCGGTCTGCTGTCTGCGTTTTTTTTTCCCAGATGAGTGTATGGTTAAATCACCACAAAACACTAAAAGCAGCAAAAATTAACAACTACAAACAGGAGCTTATGGGGAAAAAGAGACATTAGAAAGAGTGCATGGGGGAAAATTTAGCAACAATTCGAAGGCGGACAGCCTGAAATAAATTGGAGTGTGCATCAGTCCTTGCCTTACCGAAAAGAAAGTTTTGAGCACATGAGTTTGTAAGATTAGTCTTCCAACTTTCGAGTGACGGAGAAAGTTGCACCAAATTTCATTCCCATCATATGGATTTTATTTGAGAACTTTTACCAGACAAGACAACTGGTTTCCCAAGGAAACAAAAGGAACAGCTTGCTACGCGATATGGAAGACCATTTAGCAAAGGAAGAGATAAGATGTGCTTACTCGTCGCATTGAACTATCTAAATTTAAGCAGACAAGTAAACCCGAGAGCATCTACAGTGACCCAAATGAACCAAATCAATCAACATTTGAGCAACGAGCGTCACTCTGAGTAAATGCTACTTACAGAGATAACTCATCAGTTACAACCAAAGCAGAGAATTGGAAGTATCTACACAACGAATGACTTAAACGCAACCTAGTTAGATGAATTCACTCACATAACGAGAGAGATGACGACATTCTGTAGAGGTTGCTACTAGCAGAGTCTAGAATGAGCAGCTCTCCACTGGGCAGCACTTCAACCGAGTGAGGCTCGATGCCGAGCTTGCTCCCATCGAACACCGTCTCCACCGTGTACCCGCTCTCGAACTTCATCATCGGACGCCCAGCAATGGCTGCACATTACGTGTCCCCCCACTCAAACCACACGCGAAATCTCAGGAAAAAAAAAAAAGAAGAAGAAGAGCAAAGGAACAAAAGGCACCACGCAAAGCAAAGATCAAGATCCGGCACCTGTCTTGGTGGTGGCCCTGGCCCTCACCGACGACAGCCACTTCACCAGCGCAGCCGCAACGTTCGAGAAGATCCCTTGAACAATCTCTGCACAAACGCACCAACCCCACTTTACACACAGCCGCATTCCCAAAAATAAGCAGAACCCACCTCGGGAAATGAGCAGATCGAGCCGATGAGCCCGCTCCGAGCTCAAAAGAGAGGCACCCACGTCCCGCTCCGAGCTCAAAACAGAGCAAAACCGAAGCCCCGCTTAGCTCGAGGAACTCACTCGCGGGCGAAGAGGTCGGGGCCGCGGAAGCGGCGCCGAACAGCAGCAGGAGCGCGAGGCCCAGCACCACCACCAGATTCCTCGCCATGGTACGACGGGCTCAAAGCTCACTCCCTCTCCGCACCGAAGCACCACCTCGGGAACTGCAGATTCCAGCCCCAGCTCATAGCATTGCCGAAAGTGCACCCAGAAAGGGGGAGCCACCTCTTCTTGATCAGGATGCGAAGAAGAACAGTGCTTGCTTTTGAGGGTAGAGAGACGGGAGTGTTGTGGAGAGAGAGATGGTGATGGAGACGAAAGAGACGAAAGGCGAGAGGGAAAAGGAAAGAGGGAAAAGGCGAGAATCATATGCTCGAGATTAATGTCTTAAATCTCGATAGATTGTATTAATTATTAGAGGTTCATGATTGTTTAATTCAAGAACCAAACCAACCTAACCCCTGTTTTGCCCCGTTTCGACCCTTTTGTTGTTTTTTTCCCCCTCTCACGAGGCGGCCCTCGTGTTCGGGCCTAATTCCCTTAAAAAGCACCGGCTCGCGAAAAAAAAAAAAAAAACAGGCCGAGTTCGGGTCGGGTATCCCCGAAACCCCTTTCTTCTCCCGTCTTGCAAGAAAGCACCGACTTTCGGTGGGTACCCGAACTTGGCCTTGGATTCCCGTCCGATGGTGCCGTTCGAGATTCGACATGTCATTTCACATGTACTCGGCGAAAACTTGATGGGAACTTGGTGATAGTTTGTGTCTTTTTTATGTGACGGGAAAAGATTGGGTTAAAAGCTAAATTTTTTTTGCTTTTTTACAAAATAAAAATAAAGTTTAGGGGAAAAATTAAGACAAGTTGGGCCTAATTCCCTTAAAAAGGCACCGACCGGTGAAAAAATATCAAGTTTAGGTCAGGGGGTCCCGATTCCGACCCCGAAACCATTTTTCTCTCGTCTCGTAAGAAAGCATCGGCTTTCAATCGGTACCCGAACTTGGCGCCGTCAGTGTTTCCGTCCGACGGTGCCGTTAAAGATTCGACGTGTCGTTCCACGTGCGCTCGGCAAAAAGTTTTGATGGGAACTCGACGAGGGTCGGACTCACATACCGACGGCAAGTTTGCGTTTTTCTTCTCCCTTTTTATCGAGACGGAAAAAGTTTGGATCGGATTCGGGGGCCCGAGCTAAAAAATTTCCGCCTTTCTACGAACCCCAAAAAAAAAAAAATCTAGGCGAGAACTAGAACCCGAATTAAAGTTGGCGGCTTTTTGCGAGACGCGAAAAAAAAATATTTTTAGGGCGAAATCAAGAGTCGAGTTAGAATCGATGCCTTTCTAAGGGAGCTAGGTGTTTCATTTTGTCACAAGTTCTGTAACCGAATTTTCCGACATGCCATGCCAACCATCAATTGCGAGTATGCAAAGTCCTTTCCTACACCGACAGCGGACCTAATGAAAATCCTAATCGATTTCCGCCATCTACGTATATTTTAATCGTACGTCGATGTTGTGAATGTCGCTATTCTTCTTATTATTATTATGATTGAAAGTTTTGGTTTTTAAGGTGAGAGGACTGTACGGTACGTGGCCCTTACCATCTTTGAAGCATCGGCCTTTTGTTCTGTAGCTGTTGGTGGTTCCACCGGGCGGTCAACGCACCTCCTCCCGTTGCAATTTTGGCATCGTGTGCACCATCGTTTTTTACGTGGGAAGGCGTCCTCCTTTCGAGCTATTCTTGACTAGCAATGTCGGGGACACGACATTTATCGATCCATGGCGCATCCATGATTTCTCGAGGTGCCGGCTTTCGCGATCGATGGTCGCTGAATCGAAACGCAATATATATAGGCGGTTTGATCGGAAAAAATTTTCGAAAGTTTGTACGTCGCATCATTATCTATCGAAAATTGCGATAGGAATGGGGGGTGCTTATGATGGATAATAATTGGGATTGGAGCATGGGTCCCTCGAGGCATCATACAAACGCCTAGGGTTTTAAGACACTTTTCGAGTGTCGAATTCCTATGCAATGATCTGGTCCTTGAGGCATTTCGTTGCTATCTAGTCCTATTACTTGCCTGAATTACCCAATCGAGTCCTGTCATTATTGTCGTCGGCAATTATATCAGATTTATGATGCGACATTATTGATCCTGTGGAATTATGTCATCGATTAAGCAAGCCATGTTAATGTAAAAAAGATTAAAAAAAAGAGAGGCAAAAAGGTGAAAAAGACACGCACCCATGTTAGTATTCAGTTAGTTAGGGCGTCTTGGGATTGTGTGTATTTGGCCTTGCTTGGTCGGGTTCGATTCCATTTGACACTTGTGATTTAAGTGGGGAAATTTATGGCGGTGGAGTTCTTGTCTTAGTCTCTCCCAGAGGAATAGTCGTGGTGCGCTTAATTTGGAGGACAGCTTCGGTTACCAAAAAAAAAAAAAAAAAAGGTGAAAAAGACAGAGAACGAGGAGAGGCATCGCATTGCTATCCCTCCGCCCTCCGTGAAGGGCGATGGACGGTCCTATTAAAGGTTAGCCGGTGGTTGCGACGCTCGTCCCCGAACACTACTTGTCAGGGTCGGTGGACCCTTAAGAACACCGGGTCGGCTAATCACCTCGCAAGCATCGTGCTCTGGTTGATTTATCACCTCGCCGCCCTCGAGCGGGGGCAGACAACCCTCCCCCCTTTCTCTGTGCACTTCTCTTGCTTTACCTTTTGGGACTGTGTGCTAATGTGACTTGCCACGTTAGTGACACATCAAAATCATTTGGTAACTCCTGTTACATTACTCGTGCCAGTAACAAAAGCCGATAGAGCCGTTGACGTGAAATGACATCAGGATCTAATTGTACAAATTGAGGGGGCAGAGTTACATAGCGCCAAGGAAGAGATAATGACGGTGGAAATCTTAAAACTTGTGTCGATTGTCACTTAGTCCTAAAACTTTTCTTGAGTTATTTGTCATAGAAGTTGTCGCTGTCTTTCAAATTTGTCCTTCCATTAGCTCTTTCACCTTTTTTTCCGTTGGCAGGTCTGTCTGTTGAGTGCCGGAGCTTGTTAAAGCCCACACAGCTCGTCCCGGGTAAGCGAAGGGTCGCCCCGACTGCCCCGGCGACCGAATCAGAGAGCTTGGTTACGGCGTCTTTCAAACCCAAAATGAACGGTGTTCTGTGCCGAAATTACCGAAACGAAAATTTTATCAAAAGAACGAACCTGACAAAAAATGCTCATCGCGAGGACGGCAGCACCGTCGGCGGCCCGGCAAAAACGGTTTCGGAAGTAAAGTGACGGATCGACACGAGTTTTGCTGCGGGAAACAGCAATATCGGGGAAGCGATTGCACATTGCCTAAGAATCAAGGGACCAGAAAGTCCTACTCAACCGTCTCGAGCGTCAGAAGACCAGCGGGTAGAGGCCAATTCTCACGCATCAGTTCGAGCCTCTTGCTGATCTGGTATGGGGGGGGGGGGGGGATTAAACAAAGGGAAAACAAGAATTCTCCGAGGAGGAAAAGCACGTGCTTAGGACGGGGGGTGAGTTGTTTTGGTACGGCATTCCCATCGTTATCAAATGGTCTTATCTTAATACCCTTCTTGGCATTAGAATAGCAGCAGCATCCGCAAGATCTAGCAGGGGATAGAGACGCCATAAATTTAATCTCGTGGGGGAAGGGGTGACAATGATGGCGACACACATGCTCCCGTCTTGCAAGGCTATTATAGCTGGCTTTTGGTGGTGGTGGTCTCGAACTTGGGTTTTTTTTCTCCAAGTTGGAGAGGTAGGCTTTGAATGTAACATGAATGCTGGTCTAAGTAATGTTGGCGTGGCGTTTCCTAGCAAAATAATTAATGGACCATTGAGATCCCTTGGCCTTCTCAGATTTGGAGGAATGCCAGCCAAAAAGAACCGAACACCCTGATTTCAGCTCCTTTCTCTCTCTCTCTCTTCCGCCCCCTCTGCCGCCATGCTCGCTCACCTCGATCGCCGCCATGCTCGCTCGCTGCGTGCCGACCTCATGTGCCGCCTCCGTTTGCCTGTCACTTCGTTGCCCCTCCTCTCTCTCTCTCCACGTCCTTTAATTTGGAGCTTTCGTATAGGGATATCTATGCACCGGTTAAAGGAATGTAGTGACTGCCACCCTTTTTAATTGATACTAGAAGTGGTATAATTTTCGTACGGCTTCCATGGCATTTGGGTTTTCGCTTCGCTTTCATGGATGTGGGTGCGATGGTGTTCAGGGTGTGATTGCAAGCTTGTGCCCAAGTGCAAGAATCGAGTGAGTGTGCTTTGGATTCGTCGTTGTTTGCGAAAGTTTGATGATAAAACTATCACGGAAGAGAGGCATCAAATCTTCTGATTTCGAAATGTTGAATCATTATACTAAAGAAAGTAGAGCATGAGTACTCAACCGCTAGAGCAAAGAAAAAGAAAAAGCTCAATCATTTGCCCTCTTCAAACACGGATCCTCCCATCTCACAAATTGAAACCATTTATTTTCATCAAGAATGCCATATGATGAGCAAGCAAGCAGCTAAAGAGATTACCAGCTAAAAAACATCTACATTGTCTATAAATTTCGAGTAACACAGAGAAAAGGAGACCAAGTGTTTTTGGGTTCGTAGGTGCTGCATTATGGGAATTGGTGTTCTAGGGGTTTTGCAATTGCCTTTGATTTGGACCAAGATGCCATTTTTCCTTCTCCTTTCCAATTCATTTTGTCTGCCTTTGCGACCATGGAATGAGGATGGGGTCAATCTCCAGAGAGGTCGCGAGCCAAAAAGAGAGAGACAAGGACACAAATCGTGGGCTGGTCGATGGGAAAAGCAAGCTGACGACCAGGCAGTGCTACGGGAACTGGGACAGAGGGCGGCGGTGATTGAAGATGGAGGAGAGAGAGAAACAATGAGAGATTAGGGTTTGATAAGAAGAAATTTATCCCCAGTTTGTTAGTTTAGGGCAAATAAATTGGGACGTTATAAAAGTTTCGACATTGAAATAAGCGCCTTACAAAACTAATAACATTTCTAGTGTTGTTTTCCCCTTCTTTAGCATTTTGGGATTTATGTGATTATAGTACACATGGTGACTACTACTTATATGTGTCTCGAGACCCAGCAGGCCAGGCTTGAGACCCAGAATTTGGACCCTGGTCCTCACGGTCCGGGCTCTTTTCCAAAAAAAGATGTTTCAATGTATTTCGATGATAAATATAGGGAAACGACATTTATCTTATCCACGAAAGGCAACTAAATACAAATAAATCGAATAATTTTTCTTAAGAATAACTTTCGTAAAAGTCATTTTCCACGAAACAATCCGACGCTTAGCTGCATCCAACTATTGTCTTCCCGGAAATGACCAACTTACCTGCTTTGCTTTCTTCGTCTTGTTTTTTTCCATCCATTTCTAATTTTACTTTCTTCATCACTCATTGGTAAAGCATTAGAGATGTGTAAACTACCAACAAATGGCTCGTTCCTTACTTTTGCCCCCACAAGTAAAGTGGAACGTTTTTACACAGCATGTGTGGCACGCGGGTCTTCGTATGTATCAAATGTAGGGGATCCTTGCTCATGGCTTCTTTAAGTTCACTAAAACCCTCTGAAGGAAGGATTCCTGACCGTCATTTATGGTCCCAGCTGGTCTCATCTTCTGTAGGGCTGTAAAACAACTTTTGAATGGCATGCTTCTTGAACCGTCGTCACCTCACTCTTTAATTCGTCGTTCAAAGTACCCGCTCTTTGATCTCGACAAGGTTTCCGCAGTCCCACTTTTCTCTTCTTCCTTGTGGAACATATCAGCAGTCAAGTTTCACACCAGGCATAGATCATTAGATCTTGAAAGAAACAATATTCCACACGCTTGTGCAGAGAGAGAGAGATTCTCTACCGGTTGTCATCTGATCGAGTCGCACATCCATCCTAGTATATGTTCCTCGGCGTTGTGGACATCCCTGGCATTTCTGTCACATAGTTAAAACAAGATAGATCTCAAGTTGCAATCTCTGTTTTCAATGACTAACCCCGAAGACATCCTCGTGCAGAAACTCGGTAGATAGGCTTGTTAAGCAAGAAAGCGCAACTGGGACAAGTCTTAGCCAAAATCATAACACTCCTGCTGCTAAGTATTTCTAAGGCTTATAATTGATGAACTGCAGATTCAGTCATAAACATGAACAATTTCCCCCAGAGCTCAATGCTTGACTTTGCTAGACCTTTACGAGGAAACAAATTGCTCGAAAATAACATCGTATGGAATTTTAATTGTTTCACCTGTACAAATCGATGGTGCCATTCATTAGTAGAGTCAAGCACTATGGACACCTATAATCAAAACAAATGGCACCACTTAAAAAACACAAAAACTCTTGTCACGATTTACAGGGACAAAAAATTTCATCTTTGCCCTACTTCCGTGTCGTTCGCCGTGGCTGCTTGCTCCTCGCAGACACACCAATGCAAAACAGGAGGAGTCTCCTCATTTGCCTATTTAACTAGAGCAACACCCAAAAGGCAACCTTCCACAATTCCCGGATGCCAATCCTTTCGAGCAGAGCAATAACAGTCAGCAAAAGAGAACCACATAATACTCCACCATTATGATTCAACTCAAACAAAACTTTCAAAAGAAACTTGTGATTGTGCGACATATCCAGCTTTCGGACATGAAGCATTGGCGAGGCCTTGAAGCAATTGCACAACGCCGGCAACATCATTGAGATAATATTTTGCCTTGCTTGGCTTCTGCCCCACCGTGCAGGCGAAAATTTCTGGTGTCACAGAAAGAGAGGGTCCAGAGACGGTGCTCAATATGCTCTCAAACATATCCTCATCAGATCTATCATCACCAATGCACATTACAAAGTCCGGTGGCTCGCCGCCATTAACCATTGTCATCAAAACCTTCTCCGCAACCAATCCTTTGCTTACTCCCTGCATATATAGCATTTTAGAGAGAGAGAGAGAGAGAGAGAGAGAGAGAGAGACAGAGAGACAGAGAGACAGAGACCTGAGGTTTGACCTCCACAATTTGCTGTCCCCTCTTGACTCTTGACAACTGCAGGTTCATTAGCAAGCACACTCTCCAGATGATTCAACAATTCCTTGGCTTGGCATGATCCAAAATCAGGGTCCGCATCCTGATGGTGCCACACCAAAGCACTCTCCTTGTACTCTATGCTTGAGCCATCAGTTGCCTCTGTGTATGATTTCATTATAGGTTCCACGGTATTCTTCCAATCAAGATCAGCAGCCAATGAACCGGTTTCCCACTCAGCTGCACTGTTCCACCTGCAGCAGAAAAGGAGCCAAAACCCTAAATGATGGGGAAACTATATTTGTAGCAAGAAATACATGAGATTCTGTTTTCCGCATACCTTATAAAATACCCATGCTCAGCAGCTATTCCGATCATCTCGCAAGAAGAAAGCCACTCACTTAATGATTTTCTCCCCCTCCCACTGATAATAAATACAGTGTTCTTTGGATCATTACAGAGAGTATTCAAAACAGCAAGGACTTCAGGGCCTGGCATTTTACTGATAGAAGCTTCAGGAACAACAGTGCCATCATAATCCAGAAATATAGCTCTTCTATTTGTCCTCCTATAAGAAGAGACTACGTGATCAGTTAATAACCTTCTGAAGCTGGGAGAAAGAGACAGAACTCTGAATCCCAATCCCAGACCAAATGCCCAGCACCGCTTCTTGTAATGATCTTGGCATGCTCTCTCCAGATCTTGTGCAAAGCTGCGTGCCCAATATGCCACATCATGAGTACTGACATATTTGTAATGTTTCTCGTGTCTTAATTGCTTCTCAGAAGTGCTCATGTTTATCGCTGAACTTAATGCATCAGCCACAGCATCAATGTCCCAAGGGTTGACCCTAATTGCTCCACTAAGAGAAGGCGAGCAACCAATGAACTCAGAAACGACAAGCATGCTTGTGCGGGGAGCATCCTTTGTTACGCCCAGTGCTTCCTCCATGCCTGGAGTTCCCTGCCTGCAGACAATATACTTGTAAGGAACTAAATTCATCCCATCCCTCACAGCATTCACTATGCAGCATTCTGCTACTGCATAATAGGCACTCTTCTCATAACGTGGAACGGGACGGTCAACTAAGACCACAGGCTCATAACCAGCGGCACCATAAGCTTCATTAATCCTTTTGGCAGTTAAATACGTCTCCCTTTTTGCTTCTTGGACATCTTTGCCTGATCCTCTGGCTGGATTCACAATTTGAACCAGGACTATTTTGCCACGTAATTGCGGATCGTGCTGCAAGAGTTGCTCCACAGCCAGTAGTTTTAGACTGATGCCCTTAAAAATATCCATGTCATCAACACCAAGGATAACTTTCTTCCCCTTGAACTGTTCTTGAATCTCCTTGACTTTGGTGGATGTAGCAGGAAGATTAAGGACAGATTCAAGCCGGCCCATGTGAACACCTACAGGCAAAATTTTGATATACACTGTCCGACCAAAATACTCCAGTCCAATATACCCTCGCTTAGATTCATAATCCAGGCCCAGCATTCTACTACAGCATGAAAGGAAATGGCGCGCATAATCAAATGTATGGAAACCTATAAGGTCGCAGTTCAGCAATCCCCTCAAAATATCATCCCGGACAGGCAACGTTCTGTATATTTCCGAAGAAGGAAAAGGACTGTGGAGGAAGAATCCGAGTTTGACTCGATGAAATCTCTTCCTTAGAAATGTGGGTAGGATCATAAGGTGATAATCATGAACCCAAACATAGTCATCGTCAGGACTTATGATTTCCATAACCTTGTCTGCAAAAATTTTGTTTGCAGATACATATGCTTGCCAAAGCAAACGGTCAAAACGCTCCCCATGGTCTGGACACATGGGAAGCATGTAATGGAAAAGGGGCCACAACTGTTGTTTGCAGAATTCAAGATAAAACTTTTTCTGAAGATCATGAGGCAGAAAAGTTGGAACACAATTGAACTCCTCCAACAATTTCTGAGCAACTTCTTCCTGCTCACTTACGTCTATTTCAACCTTGAGAGAACCCACATAAAGTATCTCAGTTTCAGATGAGAAACCATCCTTTAGTTGTAGTAATATTGAATCTTTATCTAAACAGAAACTCCACTTCTCTGTTTCCATATCCCTTTTAGCATGCAAAGGCAACATATTTGCAACTATGATTTTCCGCTCACGACAACTAGATGAAGTGGCATCAGAATCTCCATCAAGACTGCCATTACCATCCAAATCAGATATAATACCTGGCACCTTCATGACCCTTGGAAGAGCAAAAGGAGTTGGAACGATATCCAAAAGATCCCCAGTAGCCAGATCCGAGAAGTTTGTATAAGATCGTGATGCCATTAGAAGTAGAGAAGGAACGTCACTGATTCATACAGGCGAATCCTTCAATCGAAACAATATGAACGATTGTGCTGAAGCACAGAACAAAACCTACAAAAGAAAATGTGTCATGTAAACAAATAGCAGCAGATAAGCACCTCTATCATTCTCCCAGAATACAATTAAGTGACTTAAAACATCATATTGCGACAAAACAAAGTCCCACATATTGCCTTGATACTATTTGAAACTCCTACTCATCATTACAGGAATTGGTAACATCCGTCTCACGACGCCCAAAAGCCAGTCCCGCTCCCCCCAATGAAACAAAAAGGACAGAGGAGGAAGAAGAATGCTGTGGAGACAGCAAATTGCCTTTAAGTGTTCAAGGAAAAAAAACAAGCAAAGCAATAAGCCAAACTGTGCTCGTTGAAATAGAAAATGAGCAAGTCTAGAATTAAGGTCCTAACCACTGGACCAGATGTTCCAAATATGTCTGGCCAGCTACATAGTGTAAATATAATGACAACACATTGATGATAGAGAGGAAGCAGTGGTAGAAATTATCTAATTAGATTGACATTTCTAATGACACGTGCTAAGGGCATATCATATGCTTATCTCTGCAATGGAGTCATCAGTTAAGTCGTTCCTAGTAGTCAAATAACAATATATCAACTATTGCCAAAGACTCAATGAAACAGAAACGAGGCATTCTACCACTCACTTATCACAAGAGGCGAAACCCAAAGAGTTACCATCTCACAACTTGTAAAGCAGTCTCCAGTCAATCTCCTAAGGCATATCTCCTTGAAAGCATTCTTCCAACTCACAAAATTCTATTCACTAAAATTTATTGTCTATGTAGATAATTTATTTAGAAAAGCACAAACCGAGTTTCCGACCAAATTTGAGATTCATCTTATTTCTACATCCTATCCAACATTAGATCCATCAAGTCAACATAATCCCATTCACAACTGTTAGACATGAGTAAAAGTGATCCTAATAGATCACCTAGCAAATCCAACAAACTTTTTGAAAAGATACTTGCTCGGTAGAAGATATTTAAACTATTTCATAGTGTCATCTATGCTGGGATCAGGCCAAAAAAAGGACCCGCAAAAGAATGCATCCCCATACGATGTCATCAAACTTTCTTGACAGAAGAAAATTTCCCATTATACCACTACTGTCCATAAAGCTACTCGGATAAGAGTACTTTTTACGTTGCAACAAAATGAAAATCAATTAAAATCACAACATCCAATCACATGGAAACATGCACACAATCTGTGAGCATGCCTACACATTTGTGTGTGTGTGTGTTGGAGAGAGAGAGATCATGCTAAATGCGGGTAACAAGTATCTCATGTAACAAGACAGATGTAAAAGCATCACGCCAAACTATATGCATGCCTCATTTGCGTTCAAAAGTATTGTTCAACGGCCTTTAACAGCCGAAGCCAGTAAAGGGAAGATTCATGAACAATGAACCGACAAAACCTATCACAAATGTAAAAATAAGTTCATTTAACAGTTTCCAGAATATTTATATTATTCGAAAAGTTCCTCTAAGAATTTGTGGTGCATTGTTTCACGATCACTCACGAGTATTTAGATGTTTCTTCGTACTTCCAACTCGAGAAGAGGAAAAGATCAGAGAGAAACTATATCACCTGTCGGCATCGAAAACATCTAGAGGGATCAATTTCGGGAAGCCAGTGTTCACATTTGCAACCAAAACACAGTATAAGCAAGAAATCCAAACTGCCAAAGCCAAGCTCAAAAGCGAAGAGACTTCCCAAGAAGTTTAACCCTGGGAAGCATCACTAACCTAGGACATCATTGGCATGTCACTGAAAGGTATGCCTGTGTTGACTATAGAGACCAATAGAGGAGTCGGGAATTAAAGGCAAGAAACAGTAAAAACACTTCTGAAATGATACCTAGCACTGGAACCAGGAACAAAATCTGCTGGCCTTCCAAACAGAGATAAAAGAGAGAGAGAGAGAGTTGACAACCATTTAGAAGATTACACTTCCCAGAAGCAAGATACCCTCTATGTCTTACAATTACAATTATGGTATACGAATGCCCGAAATCTTGCAACGTAAATTAACTTTTGTTCTTTCCGACCAAAAAAAAGAATTAACTTTTGCTTTTTCAAGGGGAAAATCTCCGCATGTAACACTCACAAACGGGGTCGCAAATAAACCAAAAATAAACACAAACAGTAAGAAAATAGAAACAGCTTTCATACACAGACAGCAGCGCAGACACGAATCACTACACAAAACGTACTGCCCGCAATTCCCCGATCTCAGTAGTCTCAAAAGCAGATTGCGTAAAATTTCCAAACCTGAACAAATCCAAATCAAGCGTTCAAACGGCTAAAAAGTCTTCCGCAAAGGCGAGCATCACCCACCAAACCAAAAAGCCCGCCGCGACCCAGAACGCCGAGCGAAAACCAACTCGACAGAAACCGCGCATCATCACCATCACCCTCACCGAATTGGAATTCGCTGCCGAGCAACGAAGACACTAATCACGGACGCGCGCGCGCGCCGTCCCAAACGTTTCGGAGCAACCCCAAAGGGAGGCGCTCGCCGGCGTAGAACGGAAAAGAGCGTACCGGAGCTAACGGCGGGCGAACGCAGAGATGCCGGAGCGACGGAGGATCGAAGGAACGGAGCTCCGGCGGCGGAAGAGGCGATCGCGCAGCACCCCTCGACGGCGAGCGCTCCACTGGGCAAGGCGATCGGAGGACGCCCTCGACCGGGCGGGGAGGCGGAGGCGGTGGCGGTGGCGGTGGCGGTGGCGGAGCAGTTCGCCGGAGCTGGTGAAAGCGCTGTTGCAGAGGAGGGAGGTATAGAGAGAGAGAGAGAGAGAGAGAGAGAGGAGGAGGTAGAGAGAGAAAGCAAGAAACGTGAAAACTGAGATGGAGAGAGAGAGAGAGAGAGAGAGAGAGAGAGAGAGCAGTTCGTTTTTTTCAACCCTCTCTGCCTATAATCCGGTTTCGGATCACGTTTCCTGTTCCACTCCGCTCCGAATTTACCCTATTGCCCCTCCCCCCCCCCTTCTTGCCTCTGCCCTCTATTTTTTTTGTCATCATTAGTAGAAAAAGAAAAAATGTGGAGAGTGCCTTTAGAAAAAGAAAATTAAAAGAAAAAAAAAGGAGGAAAAAAGGGGGAGAGGGGCGACCGCCGGCGGCGGCGGCGGCTCGCCCCGGGCATCAGCACGCGAGGCCGTGGAGCTATGCCCGGTCACCGGCGATCGGCGCCGCTGCCGCGGCGAAATGTTCCGGTCAGAGCCGTGGTTAGGCGAGCCCGTCGCTCCGTAGCGCCCGCCAAGATGTTGGCTAGGTGGGCAGACGTGAAATCTCTACCATATTCGAGTGACAATTCCTCGTTCGAGATTGATTTCTATTCATTATTGTTCTCTTTTTTTTTTTCCAACCGAAAAGGAATTTGGGCGAGATTAGAACTTACCTCACTCGTTATCCGTTTATTGCTGTATTTTACACCTTTAAACTCTGTCTGGCTATCGAAAAATGAATGATTTAAAAAAATATATATGCTCCTGAAAAATGACAGTCCGTATCGCTTGTGATAATTAGCCAATAAAAATCATTTTCATCATCGACAATAATTCCTGCCTTAACACCTTCACAAACGATGAAAATGTCTTTCATTTATTATTTTTTAGATAAACATTTTTTAAAAATCATTCATATTTCCACGAAACTTAGAATCACGTACATGTTGTCGAGGCTAAAGCTTATTTGGAATCGCATGGTTCCTTCTTCTTCTAATTTTTTACGATATCGGGAAAATTAAGATTATTCTTTTCTAATTAACCTTTATCTTTAGTGAAAAAGTAAGGAGGAGGCATCGTTCAGTAACGTGGGATTAGTGTGGTTAACCTGAACTTTTCTGATATGATTATCTATTTTTTGTAGGACCAGGGGGGGATGGAGGCTTTGCAGGTCATAATTAAAAACAACATTATCCTTCTGCTTGTAGTGATGTGCGGGGGGGCTTATCTTATCTTCATCATATCGCTCCTCGTTTCCTCCTCTTAATCTAATGATTAATCTAATATTAATCAGTGCTAATCGAGCAAGCTCTGGTCAAAAGGGGATAACCTCATTTCCCGTGCGGCATATTTTATCCCCCCATTGCAATCTAGGCCCTACCTAGTCCTTTGCATTGTTTCCAAAGCATGTTTTTTCATCGAAAAAATTATTATTAAAAAAAAAACGTGTTTTCTTGTGCGAATATGCTCCCGAGATATAAGATACTATGGATTATGGACATCACTATGATGTAAAATTAAAGTAATGCTAATGTGGGGCTGTGTCTATGGTCAGTCATAGCTCATCGATTGGACATGCGATCGGAGGAAAATATGGTCCCTTTCCTATTGCATACGAGATGGAGAAAAAAAACGACACTTTTTAGAAAACGAACAACCACCCGAGCATATGGCAAATTCATAATTTAAACGAGATGTCAGTTGATACGTACGATTCGTTTCAAGTGAAAATTGAAAACCTAAGATTGAACGATCAGAAAAAAAAAAGAAGAAGTGATTTTTTTCAGTGTGATTCAAAAAAAAAAAGTGACTCGAGAAAAAAAAAAAAATATACATATATATGTGAAGGATGGACATTGTGAACTACCTACCAAGTACCAACTTGATCAAACAAGAGACATATTTGAAACCTTCCAAAGCATCTTCCCCTCCATATCTTCCATCCCTTTTCACATGACAAACAAATAGATCCAACAAGATAGTTGTCTGCTATCTCCCGTTATAACTTTCAATAATATGTAGTAAGAACATTTAACACTCAATGTTAAAGGACGGATTTGTATTCTCACTGCCAAATAAAAATATTTTTAGAAAAGAGAAAATTTAGCATAAGTTGATTAAGAATTTCCATTCCATTCCCCGGTGGAGTCGCCAGGACAGATACGCCCTTGCTCAGATATATTAAGTGAAATTACTTTTCAATTTACGCGGAAATTATGGAGGTTTGATCTCTTCGATGAAATTGATACTCTTGGATATGCACACCGCAAATGCCATAACTTTCATACGGCGTTTATTTAAGTGTCGTAACTATTTTCTAACCACTCGAGTGCTATAACTTGAAAAAAAAGTCCTATAACTTTTGATTGATCACTTGGGTGCGATAACTTTTTCGGAAAAAGTTCACCCAGTTGCCAAAAATACGACATAGCATGATACTTGTAGTGAACGTTTTTAAAAATTTACGGCACTTGGGGTGATTAATTGAAAAGTTATATGGCACACAATTATCAGAAAAAAAAAAAGAAGAAAGTTACGACCCTCAATTGAGCGTCGTACATAAATTATTTTATTCAAGTGATTGAAAAAAATTGATGCGAAAATTATGGTGCTTGTAGTGTCCTTTTACCTGAATATAAGATTGTGAATATTACAAAACAAGTTAGAGAGAGAATATACGAGAGAATTAGAAATGATCTTGTAGAGCGCCATAAACAATGGCTTTGATTCCGTTTCGCTTCCAAGCTACGATCGATTTGGTTCGGAATCATTTCCGTTCGGAATCGACCCGGACTGCGCCGTGCTTATCTCTACCAAATCGATTTGGTTTTTTTTTTTTTGGGCTCGGCGAGCGCCGGCGACCCGCCCGGACGGCACGCCGTCGCTGCTGGACGGCACCAATTGCGAGCTGGCGAGTGGATAAGCATCAGCGGAAACGTCTCGTTTCCATCATGCATTCCACGTATTATCCGTGCCATCATCCCCAACCCATTACGTGCAATCCTTCTTTTTTTTATTTTCCTTTTTCCTTTTTTTATTAATTTTTTAATAAGTGATCTTTATCTTTTCTCCTCATTTTCTTCTTCTTCTTTTTTAAGATTATTTTTATTAATTATTGTCTAGGGCACGTCATGCATGACGTCATTAGTGGATATATATATGATTATTCTATGGAGTGGATGAAGTTGAGCAATTATAATATACCCTTATTTTTTTCTCTATTATTTTTTTATTTGATATGGGGGGCATCTTCGGTAGGTGAAAAGAAGGATATAAATATCGCCTTCCATAGATATCTTATACTATTTGTATAAAATAAAGAGGATCTCCTATTTTCGAGGGATCATAATTCTTTTTTCTCTTTCCATAATATTGTCAAATTAGTAATTTCATAGATACTATATTAATGTAAAATAATATGTGAATCGATTAAGGGAGAGATCTCCTTGTGGGGGGTCTCTCAAAAAATTACTTGGTAACTTAGTTTAATTTTTAATTGGATAAAAAATTCAAAAAAGAAAAGGAAAGTCCCTACTACCCTATGTTTAAGATCGAAGGTTTTGCTCGAGGACCACGCCCGCTGGCCAAGCCGTCGCCCCCGCCCCACCACGATGTAAGCGGAAAGCTCAAGATCGACGATCTACTAAAGCCTAAGCTTGTTCTTCGTAGGCTGATCAAGGTTTCCTGGGACCGAGAATAGATTGGAAAATCAAACCTAGTATAGTTAGCTCGTGAATCAAGTGGACCACTCGACGAACCGGCGGCGAGGATAGCAATTCTGCCCGTAAAGTTTTTTCCGTTTTCTGGGCAACAAATCAATAGATTGATGTTAGTCGAGACTATCTTGTTACAAGATCAAGCATGCAACAGAGTTGATCATATAAACTTTCGCATAACTACTATTGCGTCCGAAAAGAATTTCTAAGAATGCATGCATTTCGTGGAAAATTCAAGATTCAAAAAATAATTTAAAAAAAATGATTGATTATGTCACTCACAAAAATAAATGAATGAATGAAAAATATTTCCCTCATCCGCGGAAAATAGTTAGGTATAAATTGATGTCGACAATGAAAACGGTTTCGATTTACAAAATTTTCCAAGCGACATAGCTAATTATTTCTCGAAAAATATTTTTCGAAATCTTGAATTTTTCTTGAAATAATGTCAAAACTCTAGCATTTCGTCAAACGCTTTGCAAAAGGCCTAAAAATCCTCCCCACCTTGGATCCACGGTAAAAAAATCTAATGGCAGAAACGTAATTAGACCAAAAGAAGCTGGCTTTTTTAGTGTTTCGGCCGAGCTCTTCCGTACACCGATGACGAGGAGGTGTGGATAAGATGGGCGGCCGGCGGGGGGGACAAGGGGCATTTCGGTCCTTTCCAGATGCTCCTCGTTTTCCTCGACCCGCTCTTTCCATTTTCCCCGTCCATCCCCCACCGACCCCACCGACCTCATCCACTCGTACGGACGCGTCGCCGACCTCGAGCCCCCGCGCACCCAAATCATTTCGTATGGCCAACCTCGCCTCTCTCGCGACCCAATCAAAATCGAGCGATTCTTTGACCCAATTCTCCAAAAAAAATAAAAAAAAATCGAGCAATTCCGACATTCAAGCGTCGATTCGAGATTTGTGTACAATCGATGTGGTGTCGCGATCATGTACGTCTTGATAGCCATGTTAGATAGATAGGTATCTAATTTTAAATTGTCGAATTTCGCGTAGTCTTTGCTTTCGTTATCTTTGTCTTTTCCGAGTGCACCTTATTGTATCGAGCAAGAGTTCTTTGCTCGACCGACCGCTGGATTTAGTGCACATTGTAGATATGGCGTGGGTTTATGTCTCGGTTGTCTTTCGCTTGTCGAAACTGAAGAAAGGGTTATTGTTAATGCCATTGTCGGTATAAAAGAACATTCTACATATTTATTGTCGATAGTTAATGTAGAATGAATTCGGTCACGCCGACTCTCTCTCTCTAAGTACATATGTCGCCCACCTAACAACGAACATCACAAAAATGTCATATATGGGCAGTGAACATGATAAAAATCATTAGTTAAATTGATTTTGCGAAGTTACATCTAGCACTACCTTTTTCATTAATTTATAAATTTGGTTTTCTATTTGTTGCAGTCGGTGGAAAAAGGGGGTTTAATTTTTTTTTAAATAATTTAAAATAAGGATAAGGTCGGAATGGACTCCTAAACTTTTGTTAGAAAATCTATCCTGATAGATAAGGATAAAAAATCTTTGAAAATCTCGCTTGCCCAGCTCAATCTTCTCGATATCCAGATCTCATTGCTCGAGCTCCCTCGCCAGCATCTCGTACCCATGAATCGGAATAGCTTAGTGCTCTATCATCAATTTTTTCCTTCTCAACCACTTGTCAATCGGGGGCTCGTGATGGAGGCCGAGCAGTGAAGTCGGAAGGTGTTGATGTCGAGGACGCAGCGGAAGGTGTTGATTCTGGGACAACGGTGGAGATGTCGATCAGGAAGCTTCGATTGGGGAACACGATCGACTGACCGGTGTGTGGACAATCCGTGTTGAGTTATTTTTTTTTTTTTTGTTTTCCCCCTATATTTTTTTTCGTATTGAATCATGCCAAATTTATTTGAATTTTCCCCTCTTTAATTTTAAAAAAAAAAATTAAAAAAAATATATATATTTAAAATTAAAAAAATAAATTTTTAAAAAAAAAGGAGTTTTCGAAAAATATTTCCGGAAAGCTTTCCTTTATTATGAATTTTCCTGGAAACACACGCACCCTTAATGTTGGTGATCCCCTTTAAACGATATCGTAAGACTGCACACGACACGAGCAAGAAAACATACTCGGTTTAAGGTGTCGGATTGGACTGCTTTACCGCTAATCCGGGCTAGCCCGTCACCCCGACCGCGCGGGGAGAGGTGTAGGACCAGAGTTGTCTTTCCATCTTTTGCGCATACCAGCGATTGCTTTCCAAAATCGGTCACACTTCTCGTGTCGAAAACGACATATACTCCCCAATTTGGGAAAATCACTGTTGATAATGATGCTGTATATAACCAACCTACTATCTTCTGTCACACCTTTGTTTTTCTTCATTTCCCTTATTTCTATTCTCTTCACCTGTATGTTGTTACCACTTTTCATTTGCATTTACAGACGTCCCTCCTGCATCTTACCAAAACTTTTAGATATGGCAAACCATGCCTACTTCTATACTGGATACGTGGGGCACGTCTATCGCATGCGTCGGTGCTCTGAAGTTCCTCCTCAAAAAGTCGTAGCCGAGATTTATCGCAAGCCGCCTGATTAGTCCCGATCCTCGCTTCGCTCTCACGTAATAATGCCCCAGAATGTATGCTATTCCCGCTTCCCGGGCTTCCATTAGTTCGCACAACTCCTCCATCGCTTCAGGATCCATCTTTGGGCTCTCCGGCATGAGGAACCTCACTTTCTTCCCCAACCTGGGCCGCGGTGGCGAGTTTATCTCCTTTTGCTCCGACGAAGACGGTAGCTCTGCAGGGTCCTTCTCATCCTCGCTCATTTGAATCCCATTGGGATGAGAAGAACAAGTCCCTACCACTGTCATTTTGCCATCTTCCAGAAAGCCTCCATTCCCAGCAGTGGCACCCATGCCCTGCGAGCGTATGAACTCCGCGATGCTACATACGAGATCCCTCTCGAACTCCACATCATCCTTGTGAACATCTCTATACCCATAACGCACGATGCACCGATAAATCATGTGCTCCCTCGAACCGATGCGGCCCACAAGGAACCTCTCCTCGTGCCTAACGTGTGGGATTGGAACCGACTTGATGCAGAGGAAGACCAGGACTTGGTGGAATGCTGGCAAGTTGGTGACAAAGTGGGAGAAGATGGCTGGAATCCCGTAAACCAGCTCCGTTTGGATTAGCCCAATTCCTCGTACACGTACTATGCCCAGGCTGGGGCCTAACCCGAGAATCCAATCAATGGAGACCTTGTTCTGAAGATCATACTCATATGCATTGAGTGTACCATAGTGCCAGATGTACATCACCATGAGAAAGACGGATGATAAGGCGATCGGGACCCATGCTCCTTCGAGGAACTTGATGAGGGAAGCCGAGAAGAAGAGCGCCTCAATGGTGCCAAAGAGAAGTATGAAACAAACTGCGACGATAACGCTCTGGTGCCAGCAGAGGACTATGACGAGAGACATCAGACACGTCGTAACCAGCATGACCGTTATAACTGCCAAACCTGTCATGTAGAAAGCATATGGTCAAAGATACATCCAAAGAACTTGCTGAAAATCTCATCAAACTCCAATTCTTTTTTTCAATTGGAAGTGCTCACAATGACGAAAATGCAAATATAAAGCTCGATAGCTTGTTTTGATGAGAAATGCAGTGGCACGGTGCTATATAACAATATCACATGGAAATTTTACCACTACGGACGGTGTGGAAACTCTCAAGTTCATATGAAATTTTGATCCACTATAACATAATCTGCAATTAGAGATTTTTAGGAACTTTGTTTCTTTTGATAAGTAATATGTACAATGAGAGAAGAGCAGACATGTAATGGGCTAATTGGTGGGAGCCCCCACGAGCAACGAGGGCTTTCGACCAAAGTGGGGACAATTAAGGTGGTTCAGGAGGATCCTGGAGCAGGACCCCAAAGCTCACTGAAGAAATGGTGGTTCAGGAGCATCATGGAATGGGTTCTGAGCCGAGTGGGACACAAGCCACACGACGGGGCTCTAAACTTGAGTGGACCAGCAGATAGCTTGATACGTCACGACTCATGAGCACCAAAATTCACTTTTACGGCCTTAAACGAGAAGTTTGATTTCATTAGTTCCTATATGGCAATTAAACAGTCGTGCATCTCTCTAGATAGGGAGGATAACCTGCGCGATATGACACCAATCTTCAAGGTAATCCGTATAGTTGCTATCTATAAGTATCATTTCAAACAGTGTGTATCAACTTGTTGCAAAATAAGGTAAGCAGAGAATTCATTTCCCCGAGTTGATATCAGAACCTAAAATTTCGTTCGCAATGAAAATGCTGCACAAGAAGTTTCTCCCGCCAACAAAGGGAATCTATAAAGTAATAGATTATGCTCGTACCAATAATTAAAAAGCTCTACTAAATGCAGAAGTAACTAACATTAAGGCTGAAACGAAAATGAAGAGGATCATCCAAGTTGTACCTGATGCATTCCCCATGTGGCTTGTGTCCCTGAACCCAATAGTGATTGCTAAGCATAACATCATCAAGATCCAGTTAATCTCTGGGATGTAAATCTGGCCATGAATTTTCGATGATGTGTGCACTATTTTAACTCTGGGGAAGCAACCCAGAGCAGAGCACTGTTTAATAATTGAAAAAGTTCCAGTGATTATGGCTTGGCTTCCCGCAACGGCAGCAAGTATGGCAATGACCAGCACTGGCCACCTTAACTTCTCTGCAACAAAGTGTCCGAAACTTCAATGATATGACCTGGTGTCACTCGTTCAGAACAAGCAGTTGTGAACTGTAACTAGAAAAAAGAGACACCAACCTGGTACAGATACATAAAATCCAATTTTATATTCACTTGCAATGCTGTGATGCTGTGAGAGATATGCGGCCTGCCCCATGTATGCAAGAATCAGGGATGGATAGACCATAAAGGTGAAGGCAATCTGCAAAATGGTGAAGGTTCATTAAACATCATCCATAATTAACGAAAAGTACAGTGATTCAAACTCTTCGTGTATAATTAGGTCATCTATCCTCAATGTAGTACTTATGGAAAGATGCAAATCGATAATATCTCTTAAGGAATCCACACAGAGCTCACAACTTGTAAGGACAAAAGATGGAGAAATAAGAAAAGACACTTCAATTTGCGTGATCCAATTGGACCACTTCTGAACTGAGTTTACACTGAAAGAGCACGAAATCACAAAAATAAAGCACCTTTAAGGGATCGTAAAGTGTAGGGGGGTTGCTATGGATTTGAAATGAATTGGACGGCATACCGCGGTTAAGTTTCACTCAAATTAGTATTGCTAGACAGATGATGACATACACGTGGCAGAGAGTAAAGTACCTTGATTGATAGTTGCGAAAAATGGCCTAGATCAGCAAACATGGCTTCTGAACCTGGATAATGTATATGTTTCATGAGCAAACAAGCAGATCTATTCAGAACTCAGACATCGATGAAGATAACTATCAATACAGTTCCACATTTACCTGTTATACATAACAGTATTCCACCCAGGGACATCCAACCTCCTCTTCGAGTTTTCCTTAAAAAGATGTACATATAACGTGGTGAAAGTGCCTGATATATATGAGGATTCCATCTAAATATATTATATAACCCGATGGCACTGATGCACAGGAGCCACATTGTCATCACAGGCGCAAACAAGAAGCCAACTCTGTGGGTGCCATAATGTTGAAGGGCAAACAAACCAATCAGAATGACACACGCAACCGGTACTTCTACGTCTGCAAAACTATCACATTTTCAGGAGGTAGGGCAAAGAAAAGGACAAGACAAGCAAAACTTAAGGCAAAATTCAAACTAATGACTAGGGAGAAAGAAAAAAATACATGGATTTTGCCTTCTCATGGGGATACCTAAAAACAGTTTCAGGGTAATATAATTCTGATTTAATAGTTCAGGAACGACTTCTTTTGGCACAACTACTATCAGTCAAAATAGCTTTATTTATCGAGGGCATTGTGAATAAAAGTACTTATAATTCACAGAAAATTTACCCAGGATTGCATATCAAAACACATGCAACTCCAAGTGCTAGATGGTGGCACCATGGTCCATGAGCACCGGTAGATGAAGACAACCAATGAAACGGAAACCTGGAACTTTATTAGGTATTATCCTAACCTACAAGCTCTAACAATATAGTGGAAGGCTCAGCCTGAATTTAATGCAAAATCACCCCACTATGCTTTACCCTAAACAAGGAACTTTCGACTTGTGTGATATTTAGCTTAAAACTCAAATTGGGGCATATTGAATCGTCACCCTCTATCAAAGACCCAAGTTTTCCTTCTGGCAGTACTTAAACTACGTCACACTGAAACTAAAATAGATTACAAAGTCTTCAAACTTACACATTTAAATAGAACTAATTAGACATGCATGCATGGGTAAACTCAAAGACTTATTAAGAGAACCAGCTATAGATTTGAGCTAGAAACAAACAGGTGATACACTGTCTGCTGTGAACTTTATCCTCTTCCCACCCACCCACCACCAAAAAGAAAAAAAACCACTGCCAATCAGGAAATTGCAACAGATAAAGACTTGCACCTACTATTTAACATGCTCCAAAAGATAAGACCTAGAAATGCTTTATAAAAGTTCTACACGCTAAATAATGGAGATAATTGACGGCGTTTCAGCAAAGCTTCCCTTTTCCAATATGAGATCATGAAAAGATGGTCCAAAAACATCCTCCATACACAATAATCCAAATTCCAATTCAAAAGGTATTACCAAGTTAAATGTACACGTAATTGCCTCAACTACGGTGCATAATGAAATCACATTTTAGGATTGGATAAAATCAAACTGAAAATAATAAATTAGTTTCTTTTTCCTTAAAAAAGAAAAGGAGGAAGAACGAATTAAGGAATTAGGCTAGATTAAGGAAAACTTGAGGAGATTCAGGCTTCATCTGTCTATAGCTGACTGTGTTGGAGTGTAAGAAGTCTTAGCTAACTATTTTGACGTCATTCATTCCAGAAGATGTTGAATTATGTGATTTGAAATTAGACATAATTGAGTTGCACTGAAACTGAGTGCCTTCCGGTAATCCCAGTCATTTTTCTACGATTGAACTTCGGTTAACAACATTTTGGGCACCAGCTGCTAAAGCAAAAATTGAGTTTGGAACCAAGTTCTGCACCTTCCGAATGTGAACTCAGAGTAGCACCAATACCAATTGTAGGGATTTTTACACCGGATCATAGGGCCACTAACCTCTCAGAATTAAAAACTTTTACAGTAGCAATGCGTCATGTCATGGCCAGTAAATTCAATTTCAAGCTAGTTTAAATGATAAACTATGCTGCTCCAATAGAAAGTCCAGTTTAGGATGCTGACAAAGGCAGGTCTCCTTTGACTAGTAAGTGAATTCGCGGTCCATTGAAGCAACTTGAGATGATGGGTGGGATGACAACTCTGAAGATGACAATTCAACCGAAACTTTCGAGGATCTGATGTTGAAATTATATTATTTAGAATTTTGAATAAAGTGGCCATACTAAGGAAGTTGAAGAAGCAAAGGAATGCACGAAAACTGTCAAACAGAAGATTGCAACGGTTTCTCTTCCTAAATCTCCTAAAAGCGGAGCTGTAAAACAAAGATCCGCAAATGAAAACGATCCTCACTGAGGTGTGATTTCGAATGCCAGAAAAAGAAAAGAGGTTCCTCCTCCACTGTTCAACCAATTTACGGTCACAAAGCCCATTTTGGATGCTAAAAACTTACATTTATGATGCTCCTTGGACATAGAAAGTTCCAGGCCCGACACTGCTGAAAAAACTGCACCGCATAAAACAATCTGCTTAGCATCAATCACCTGAATTTTCAACTCAAATCTGATCAAACCACCGTACATGCCAAACTCCAATCTTGATCTAAAGAGCCCCCAAAAAAAAGACCATGAATTCCAAGTTTCACACTTTGAATAAACTCAAAAACAATAAACTATACCAGCCACAAGTTCCCAATCAGACTCAACTTTGAATTGAAACTTCAACTCAACCCCAAGATTACAAAACTTGAAAACCTCCGGTAAAAAGGAAAAAGAACAGTTCTAGCCAAAAAAAAAAAAAAAGAACAGGGAAAAAGAAAATCTAATTCGCACCGAAATTACCTGATATAGCCGGCGAGAGCACACCATCACCAATCACCATGCAAGCCCCAATCAGAGCCAGGACAAGCAGCAACCTCTGCAACACTCCGTGCCTCTCGAGAGTCGACTTCAGCTTCAACCCGAACCCCGCCTTCGGCGACAAACTAGCGCCGTCCCTCTTGTACTCGGAGAGCTCCTCGTCCGCCACCTGGCAATTGGGCAGCAAGTTGACTCGGGCGTGTCGGCACAGCAGCGAGTAGAGAGCGAAGGTCCCTCCTTCCCCATTATCGTCGGCCCTCAGCACGATGACAACGTACTTGAGCAGAGGCACTAGAGTGAGGGTCCAGAAGACGAAGGACAAGACGCCGTATATCTCCTCGTTGGTCGTCGAGTGCTGAATGTCCTTAGCGAATGCGCTCCTGTACACGTACAACGGCGAGGTGCTCAAGTCCCCGTACACGACCCCGAGGCTTTGATAAGCCAGAGTCAGCACGGCCCCCCACGACTCCTTCTTCTAAAGAAAACCCAGAAAAGAAGAAGCAGAAACAAGAGCGTGAAACCGACAATTCCAGGCATTCCATTGATGGGGCCAAAAAGGGTGAACTCGTGTACCTTCAGATGACCATTCTGACGATTCCCAGGTTCCAAATCCATGGTGGGTGCGCCGTCAATTGATGGGAAGAAGCATTTTTTTTCCAAAGCAGGAAATCAAGCACACCCCCTCCCGCTCTCTTCTCCCCGAAACAAGAGGAGTGTGCAGCTTCGACAGAGAGAGAGAGAGAGAGAGAGATAAGCAAGACAGCAGCAGTTGAACAACCGTCAAGAACCAGACGTGCGGGAAAGAGAGGCACGGACGGGGAACGACTAAAAGGTGGCGGCCGCTGAGAAGCACCCGAGCCAGCAACGCTGGGGGAGAGATTCGGAGCGAAGGAATTCCAAAGATTTCGGAGAGAGAGAGAGAGAGAGATTCGTGGCGAAGAGGGGAAGCTTTCCTGCGTTCTTGGCTTCGGTTCGGTCGGGTGTTTGTTTCTTTTTGGACACCGGTCGGGTGTTTGTTTCAACCGTGCAAAATTTTGCCTGTTTCCGTAGAGTTTCAAGAGGAGGAGAGGAGATGGAGAGAACCATCTTTATATGGCATGTTAATGAATCAGGATGGTTTGGAATTACCTGGGAAAAAAAATTAAATGCGTTACAGGTCAAATTTTCGAATGGGTACAAAAGGCTACGGAAAAAAAAACCCCCCAAAAAAAAACAATAGAAAGTTAAAAAAAAAGGAGGTGAAAACCCGGCAAAACGAAATAATTTACTTTTTCCTTTGAAACTTGGTATTACGCTCGTGAAATTTCCGAGCTTTTGATGTGGCTGGTTAGAGCGTCCGGAGGTTTCTGATCTTGCGAGCTATAGCCTGGAGGTTCAGACCTCGCCAATTACGCGTGAACTATTCTAAAATTAAGATTGTGTGCACGAGCCAAAGACATCGATTTAGCCGCGCGGAGCTTGCACGATATTGTCTGGATGTCTAGATAGCGGTGTCTCCGCGGCTGGAATTATTAAAAGATGCTACTCAATTTTTAAGATTTTGTGCAAAATTTTGTACTTAATGTTTTGAAAGGTTGCAAGCGTGTTGCATTGACGTAAGTAGTGAGTACACAAATCGGTCAAAATCGATACCACCTAATCACGTTTACTCTCAATTTTCAAGTGGTACATAAAAAAATCCCCAAACTAAGACCGTTGTCTCAATTTTATCCCGATGTCAAAATTTACAAAGAAAACTATGTTTTTGCCCTTCACAACCTTAAATATTTACAAATAGCCATCAAGACTGTCCTTATAAAGGACATAGTTTTCAATTGTTTACTTTTGTTGTCCTCTATCTTATGGTTTCGAGGAAACATTATTTATGTACCCAAGAACTACATACAATAGCCATAAAACGAACGTGAAGTCATTTGTGCTTTTGGGTGATTTTCTTAACATCGTTGCTAAAAGCATGAGTTATGCCGAATCGGAATTTGGGGTTTTTTTTTTTTCATCTTGACTTATAGTCAAATTCATACTTGTGGTTGAAATCGCAAAAAAACGGGCATATAAACACATCGTAATTAGTAAATGCCTCTGTAAATTCTTGCATGCATGCGTCGGTGTCCAAAATCGAGGGCATGATGAATAACACAACGAAATCAAATTCTCTCTCTATAATATCAAAGGGAAAATGACCCAAATGGTCCATTAACTTTGACTCAATATGTAATATGATTCATGAACTCTCAATTTGTTTAATGTGATTCATCAACATTAGCCCAACGTGCAATGTCGTCCTTGAAATTTTAAATTGTTCAATATAATCCTGAACTTTTAATACATATTTAATTTAGTTCTTGGACTACTGAATATTTTCATATAATTCATGGACTAAATTGAATATGTACAAAAAATTTATGAATTACATCGAATAAATTAAAAATTTAGAAATTAGATTATCCATTGAATCATAGTTTAGAGGTCAATTATGTCGGCAACCCTATACCAGGTTAGCAGGCAACAAGGCATCATTTTAGTGCCAGGAACGTGGTTCCAACTTTAAACCGACAAGTATCTTAGCGTTTTCCTGGGGTTTTCTTGCGAAAGAAAAGCTGTCCGGCGAAGCACGGAAGACTTTTGCAGGCAGAAAGCAGAGCACGAAAGTATGAAACAGGCGGCAGCTTTGCAGCAGCACCTGCAGTCAAAACCGTAGGGTTTGAACGGTAGGGAAATGGCGTCTCCCGAAAGGCTGTCTGTCTCTGTCTGTCTGATAGCCTATCAGCATCGAAGTCAAACGTCGGGACGCCATAAGCAGACGACCCTACGATCTCCGAATTCTCCGGGTTTGAAATTCCGGAATTTTCATGTCATTTCCCCTTGCGTTCTTTTGTCAAACCGCACGTGCTGCTCCGCAGTCAGAAGCCCTGAGCTTTGAAGAAGAAGATGATGGTGGCTGAATGATATTGGTCGGCACCGCAGGAGTCATGTTTCTGGCATTTGTTTATTCATTTCTTTGGCGAACTTTTAGATTTGACTCTTCTCGTGTCCAGCAGGCGGAAACTTGTAAAACGTGTGATTACTAAAACGTGGGGTCGATTGATTTTGAGGTAACGACGCAAATGATCTCTGGATTTTGATTCATTATGTAATATGATTCGCTTATCTTTTAATTTATTCAATATGGTACATGAATTTTAATCTGATATATAATATGGTCCTTAAACTTTTAATTTGCTCAATGTGAAATTAATCATTGAACTATATGAAAATGTCTAATATTGTCTTTCCAAAAATTCAAGTTCCGGGGCAACAATGAACGTTTGTATATAGTTCAGGGATTAAATTTAACATATACCAAAAGTTCATGTAACACATTACACATTGAGTTACAGTTCAGGGATCACGTTAAATAAATTAAAAATTCATAGACCATATTACATATTAAGCCAAAATTTAGGGACCATTTACATTATTTTTCCTTTAATTTTTCCTCTTCGTATTTTTTTACTTTACCTCATATTACAAGAACGATCTTGTCCAGTATTTGCTAACACTACAAAAAAACATGTAATTTGCGACGGATTATATTTTCCGTCGCAAATTAGCGGCGGTTTTTTATTTCCGTCGCAAATTTGCGACAGAATTTGGGACGGATGAAAAATCCGTCGGAAATTTGCGACGGAATTTTTATCCGTCGCAAATTTGGGACGGATAAAAATTCCGTCGCAAATTTCCGACGGGAAAAAAAAAAACCGTCGCAAATTTGCGACGGAAAGAAGTTCGTCGCAAATTTGCAACGGAAAATAAATCCGTCGCAAAAAGGTCGTCGCAAATTTCCGACGGAAAAAAAAACCGTCGCCAAATCCGTCGCAAAAAGTTCGTCGCAAATTTCCGACGGAAAAAAAAACCGTCGCACGAACGTCCGTCGCAAATTTGTAGTTTATCAGCCCGTGATATTCCAACCCTATCTCTCTCTCTCGCTCTCTCTCGCTTTTCTCCCTCTTTCATATGTCTGAAATCAGCAAAATTCGCGCACGCACATATTAATCTCGGTGAAGCTTTTGTACCGGTAAGTGTCATAGCTAGCTTCGTGACTATTCATTGTTGAATTATAATTTCTTTTATTTTATATATGTTTATGTTTGTTTTTTTTTCGTATCTGCATCACCGGTTTAACGACCGGCGACCGGCGACACCTCGCCGGCCTTTGGATGAGGCCGAACGGCCACGCCATTTTGCGATGGAAATAGTTTCCGTCGCAAATTTGCGACGACGACGGAATTAACTTTCCGTCGCGAATCAAGGATCCGTCGCAAATTTGGATCCGTCGCAAATTTGCGAGGGATGAATTCCGTTTCCATCGCACATTAAAAATTATTAAAAAATGATTCTTAAGTGATTATTCTTTTTGGGTATGTGTCTAATTAAAGGTTTCGTAATCCAAGTGGACGTTGCAATTCTCATCAAATTGACCACTTTCTCCTACTAATATTTCAGTCAAATATTTGGGTAAGTCTTCTTTACATGATACTTTTTTCTATTTTTGCAATTTCATATTAATTGTTGCGTGAATAACAAAAATTATAATTTCCAAAATTTTATGGTTTTAATTAAGAACAATAGATATGATATTTTAAATATTTTACCAGAATTTTTTATTTTAATACAGACACAATGCAAAGAGAAAGGGTTTGGATGTATAATAAGAACTTACCCGGACGTCAAGGATTGACGGATGAGTTTCAGATCTTGGGTTGGAACTATTTTTAGACTTTGCTAGTAGTAAATATGAGTTCATTGATGGAAATAAGTTAAGGTGTCCGTGTAAAAAGTGCGGTAATGGTAAATTTCTTGTGTGTGATCAAGTTAGAGAACATCTTACTAGATTTGGGTTTAGTCCGAACTATTATAATTGGACTTCCCATGGTGAACCATTTATATCTGATGAAGGATATGGAAGAAGTGATCAATTTTTAGTTAGGGAAGAATGTGGCTATTATGAGCAATTGAACCCATACGAGAGGATGGTGATTGATGCAGCTAGTTATAATTTTGTCACAGAATCAAATCATGCAAGTACTAGTTTTACTCCTACACGTGAACAAGTGGGTACTAGTCATGCTTCACAATTGGAAGATATAGGAGTAACGGGTTTTGATGAGAATATCTATAATGAAACTTTTCAATCTAATTAGTTAAGGATGTGTTGAAAGCGACAGATGAACCTTTATGGGCAGGTTGTGAGGACCACACTAAGTTATCGGAGACAGCCCGACTATTAAATATCAAGGCAGAGCATAATGTGTCTGCGGATTGCTTCAACTCTTTTGTTGAAGTAATGCGGGAGTCATTGCCTCGTGATAACATCATGCCAAGTGATTTTTATGATATGAAAAAGCTAGTGGATAACTTAGGTCTTCCGGTTGTAAGGATTGATGTATGTAGTAGGGGTTATATGATGTATTGGAGAGATAATGAAAATGCAGAATCTTGCAAATTCTGTAGCTAATCTAGGTACAAGATTAACAAGAGGCCGGGTCATAATCAGAAGCGTAGACCATGTAAGCAAATGTTTTATCTGCCCTTAATCCCCAGATTGCAAAGGCTTTATGTGTCTAAAGCCACTGCTGAACACATGACTTGGCATGCAAATCATGAAACAGAAGAGGGTCTAATGTGTCATCCTTCAGATGCGGAGGCATGGCAACATTTTGATAGAACATACCCTGAGTTTGCGATGGAGCCTCAGAACATCAAGTTAGGTCTCTGTGCCGATGGATTTGCTTCATTTGGGAAAACAGGAAAAAGTTATTTATGTTGGCAAGTTATCTTAACGCCGTACAATCTTCCACCTGGTATGTGCATGAAGGCACCTTATATGTTTTTGACATTGATCGTGACAGGGCCGCAAAATCCGAAAAAGTTGATAGATGTTTATATGCAATCATTGATTGAGGAGTTACAACGGCTATGGGTTGAAGGTGTCCCTACGTATGACGT